TAGTGGAGTACTTATACGGCAGCGTCACTCTACGGAGAGACATTATATTAATAGAGTCACTTTGGTGCCATGACCATATTTCTTGCAGTACACGCTATTTATACTGCATCACTATATAAGGAACGACATGTAGAATTCAGGAAACTTACACTTTTAGAGATAACATCCCTGAGTAACTTACCAATATAAATTTAGAGTCTTATACGAACATGCGAATAAAGACTGTCTTGTATTAAAGATATCAATTACCTAAGTAATAGACATATTAATTCTTGATGGGTATTGTAATTGTACTCTTGTAAATCTTCTCTAATGCCTTCTTTGTGCTTGAAAGCGCTATTAGGGTACTTTTGTGTTACAGTGTGAACAAAAATGTCCAGAAATAAAGAACTTAACAGATAGGCCCCAAGCTAGGTTCTGGGCCCCAAGCTAGGTTCTTTAAAAAGTATGTGTGTTTTTTCGTCTTTTTGGTGAAAAGAAATCTATAGTGCGGGTCACATTCACTTCCTTGTAAACGAAGGTTTTTTGTATAATAGGATGTATCAGACCGGTCAATTGAAACCCTCTTTGAAAAACATCTGTTTCTTAGATAAAGCATTGCCAGTTTAATTTTGTTCACAAGTAAACCAAGAAAGACAATTCATTTCAGGCTACAGTAGCAGAAGCCAATACTTGTTTTCATCTCAAAGCACAGTAAGCTATTATTTTATAATGCTTTCGTTAATCCCCAAAGGACCGGTGTTTGATTGAAAGCAACCGAAGCTACCTGTCACAGACTAGACCTTTTTGATGGGTCATGATGCGCACATGAAAGATTTATTTGTCGAATGAGTGCAGTATCGAACGAGAAGAGGATATTAGCTCAATCTTGCTGATTGTGTATACTTTAACATAGCATGACTTTAGATACTTCAGTGCCCACAGCTTTATACACAACACTTGTGCTAGCTGTTTTCTTTAACAGTTTCGGGATTTACTTGCTAATATCCCTTGGAAACGAAGCAAGTATACAATCTATGATTGTCATAAGCCTCAGTGCTACTGACATCACACTCGCAATTAGCTGGATCATAGAAGAGCAAGTGGTCTATCATGGAGTGCCTACAACAAGCGTGGTATTTCATGTCATTTGGTCATTGAAAGCTGGGGTGTATCTCACCTGGTATACAATGATCTATTTGCTTACTCTCGATCGCTTTTTCGGGTGCAATTTTCCGCTGAGGCATAGGATTCTTATGTGCAGAATGATTGTCCGCAAAATTGTCATTGCTTGTTGGATTGCAGGATTCCTGATTGGCATTTTTCAATGCTTTCATCCAAGTGTGCCTTTGCGTTATGCTTACAAGCAGTATGTTTGGGCAATCTTAGATTTTACCTTCTTGGTGCTCTTTGCCGTGACCTACTTCTCAATATTCACCCGACTCATAAAATCAAGGCGAACAGTTGGTCATACAAATAAAGCAACACAAAGCAATAAATTTTTATACACCGTTTTTGGACTTCTTGTCGTCTTTATACTTTTTGAATGCATTCCGACGATCATTGTGGTGTTCTGGAGGCAAAGGACATTGCTTTTTGAGCAAATCAAAACTTGGCTGTATTCACTAAATCTCCTTTCTGACCCATTATTATACATTTTTTTACAAGCAGAAGTTCGTAACCTTGCTGGTAAAAAGATTTGTTTGAGCTGTAAATTTAGAAAGAGACGCAGGAAATACGACATCGAGGCGATTGAATGTGATGCCTTTACCATATGTAGATGACTCATTAACAGGAAGTTACGAAATCATCAATCTTCCGCAAAGACATGTTCAATGTTGAAATCAGTAGACTGGGAATCATTGGTTTTATCATAGTCATCCTTCTTGCGACTATGGTTTTGTGCTATTTTAATTTTCACTTTGAGAACCTTAATTATGTCTAGAAATAAACAATGAACAGGTAGAGCTCTTAGCGCCTGAAATTCTTTCAATGAGATTTTCCAAAGAGAACAACAACCTCATGGGTGGTCGACGAATTGGATTTCATTCACTGTTCGAAGTAAAATAACCGGGAACAGTCTTAGGCCACGTTTACATTGCTCCGGATTCCAATGAAAACGGATGAAAAAGTATCCGTTTTCAGCTTGCGCTCACACTGCTCCGCGGCAAAAACGGAGACTTTTGAAAACGCACTTTGAAAACGGAGACTTTTGAAAACGGAGACTTTCGAAAACGCAAAACGCAGTGTGAACACCGAAAACGGATACTTTTGAAAGGGATAAAAACAACAACAGCACAGCAAGATGCTTAGACCACGCTAATTTGAACAACTTCTCTTAACATGGTTGATTTACTCGAAGTTATTACACTACTTGGAGGAATATTAGTGGCAGTGACTTGATTGAAAAGTGTATTAGCAGTCGCAAGGTCTGTAAACCATTTCGTGGCGTTTTCCTTTTTTCCAGAGCGGAGCAATGTGAACGCTTCATCGTTTTCACACCGTTATCAAATGTATCTGGAGCATTGTGAACAGGTAAAACGGGTCGATATGAAAACGAATAAAATCGAATACGGAGCAATGTGAACATAGCCTGAGCAATGTCAATAATAAAATCGAAGATATAGCAAAATGATGTCATTTTCTACGTCAAATTGCCGTAAGATATTATATACCTTCTACAGATTACGGTGTAAAGAGGGCAATATATTTTTTAAGCGTGTCACGTATTTTAAGATGGAGAAGTTAAGAATTAAATACAGTCTGCGTCATATCATATCATATCATATCATATCATATCATATCATATCATATCATATCATATCATATCATATCATATCATATCATATCATATCATATCATATCATATCATATCATATCATATCATATCATATCATATCATATCATATCATATCATATCATATCATATCATATCATATCATATCATATCATATCATATCATATCATATCATATCATATCATATCATATCATATCATATCATATCATATCATATCATATCATATCATATCATATCATATCATATCATATCATATCATATCATATCATATCATATCATATCATATCATATCATAACATAACATAACATATCATATCATATCATATCATATCATATCATATCATATCATATCATATCATATCATATCATATCATATCATATCATATCATATCATATCATATCATATCATATCATATCATATCATATCATATCATATCATATCATATACATTACTTCAGGGCCCACGCCACCGGGTGGGCCGGAATGGCCATGGCCTCCCCCCCCTCCACTTTTTTGTGAAGCAGATAATTGCAAAGCTACAATCAAAGGTGGAAGTAGCCTTGGCCTCCCAATTTCATAAGCCTTGGCCCCCCCCCCCCCAATTTCAAATTCGCGGCGTGGGCCCTGTATTTGTTACAGCAGGTTAAATGTAAGGCAACCAAAGGTTGATGTGGACCTGCAAAACAAAATAAATCCTAATTACAAACAAAGTGAAAGCCCTAGAAATTATCAAACCACTTAAAATGCTGCGTGGGTAAATGCAAGAGAGGGGTTGCCCCTTGGCAAGTTAAAAATCTGTCTGGCAGCTCTTGAATGAACTGTCTCAAGTTTGTGAAACAAAGCTATTGAGCAGTTTCCCCAGGCTGATATACAATAAGTGATCCCTGAAATGATTTTTTTGTAATAAATTTCTTCAAGGACATTTGTTGTTGTTGGTAAGAACTTCATCCTCTTTAATGGTCCTAGCATATGATTTGATGAAAACGTTTTACAAGTTGTACTTATGTGCTTGACCCAAGTTAATTTATTATCAATGGTAATGCCAAGGTATTTGACAGAATCAACAATACTGATCAGGGCCTGCGCCACTGGGGGGGCCGGGGTAGCCATGGCCCCCCAACCTTTTTGCAAAGCAAGTAGTTTTAAAGCTGCAGTAAAAGGGGTAAGAAGCCGTGGCCCCCTACATTTTAGCCTTGGCCCCTCCCCCATAACCAAGCTCGTGGCGCGAGCTTTGCTGATGTAGTTTTCCCCGTAATAGGATCAATTTTTTAATTGAGATTCTTTATCAAACTGAGGTGACCATAAACACGTTTCAGTGAGGATTGATAGGCCCTCCAAAACCCACCTGTTTCTTTGAATTTTTCCCATTTGGCAGTTATCGCGTACCATGAAGAAAAACATTTTTACATGCGTGAATATGAAGTTATCATTCTATTGCGTGGTTATCATTCTATTGAAGAAGCAAGAGCCATTTACACCTTACAGGAAGCGAAACCCGCGAAATTGATGTCTATTGCTATTTCACGTCGTCGAAAACTGGCACAAGTAATATCTGCTGGAAAAGACTGCAAAGCATGAAGCTGCTTAAGTGCGTGGATAACGAGGCATGATTATGATTTTATTGACACCTGTTGTCAGGTCAAGGGACTGAAGCATGCAATGCAGTGTAGTGAATATGCTATACACAGTTGACTCTATTAACATCTAGAATTGCAAAACCGCTTTTTAATTGAATTCAATTTGCAGTGACGAGATGCTTTAAAACATATTGATGATAAAAATGTAATCCAACAGGTGTATAATGACAAACATTTCTCGCGATAAGATAATTCTGGAAGCGCGTATGAAAGCATTATGCCGGCCATTTATTCTATGACGTTATACCCGCTATTTGACGCCAATAGTCTCAGGTGTGTCTAAAAAGGATAACCTTTCAAAATCACACTTTTTGAAATTATCAAACTTGTATGGGAGATGAATCATGCCCGTCTTCCAGACATGCACTAGCCCCCGTTTCGGGGTCATTGCACATGCGCATTATCACTTGAAGCCCTGGCAGGAAGTTCTGTGTGGTCACAGACAGAACAACTGTGCGAATTCTGTTATCAATGCGCATGTGCTATGACCCCGCAACACTGATTGGTTTAAGACTGATAGTTTCGTCTCCCGAACAAAAACTAGGGTAGGTAGTGGTAGAGGTAAGAGACAGCCAAAAATATAACATTTTACACACAACTGAAATAATTTGATGAGTACAGAGATTTACAATGGTTTTGTCTGCGACAAAAATTCAAGACTAGATTGTTGGAAATTCAACAACAGAAGAGCAAAAAATTGCTTTAAACACAAATATATGCAGTGATGTTAAAATTTGTTACAAATATAAATATATATGGCTTGAAATATATTTTAGCATTTTAGCAAAATGTATTATTTGCCAATCAAAAACAACAGAAGTCTTAAATTTATCGTTTTTGAGCTTAGGAGTTTGTTGCAGTCCGACGGAGTTTTTAATGCAATAGGGTGAAAGACACTTTCGCGATGGTCCTCCTGAAACTCAAATCTCTGAAGTTCAGGAACAATATCCATGTCGCCAAATGGTCCTTTAACAGCGAAATATTTCAATTCAAGATTGCATTTATTCCTGCAGACCAGTTGATAAGCGAATTTCCTCTCGATGCTTTTCTCGTCACCTTGAATCTTTGCCTTGATGATCCAAGTTTGGTCAAATGCACTGAAACGGTTTGATTCGTAAAATAATTTTGGAATGAAGTCATCGGTTCGACTCGGTGAAAGCTGCAAGTCTAAAACAGAACAAGATGATACTTGTTGTCAACCAGAATGTTTTATATTTTTTCTCAACGTAGCTGATATTCACGTAGCTAAACGAAATATTATTTATTCAACTATAACGGCTCAAAGTTTTTTCTTAGTCTATTCGTATGCAGATATTTTTGAATCTGCAATTTTTTCTTCTGGGGATCGGGCGGGCTTCTGTCTAACCGTCTTCCTCGAATACGCTATCGTATCCGCAAATTTTCGATATCGCTCTACAGAGTGGAAATTTTTGAATGCGCTACAAATCCGGTTACGTGTGAACGCTCCAATTCGGATATTTTTAATATGACGACGTAATACTAGCTCACATGCCTGATGGCGCATGCCTGATGGTGCATGCCTGATGGTGCATGCTCTACAGAAAATGTTCACTGAGAAGCTCTTAAGTCTAGGACGGATTTGACTACACTATGCGGGGACACGTGCGGTATCTACATCCGTGTGGACGAGATCTTGGATGATGGTATATCTGTAGTACAAGTTTGAGGCAGTAGCCACGAGGAGGTGACTAGCAGCTGCCGAAAAGTGGTTTCTTAGCCGAATGCTAAAAATATATTCTGTTACAATGATAAGAAATAAAGTAGGAGTACAAAGCGCTCAGACAAGCTGGCAGCTCTTAGCGAGAGTTCAGCTTCTTTGAGCTTGTGAGAAGATGAAGCTTCTTAGATTTGTGCAATGAAGCTGAACATCTGGGCAGTGAATTCCATAGTAAAATTGCCAAGGTCGAGGGCAAGATAGATAGAGTTATAAAACGAGACATGATAGTTAAGCAGTTTGCAAAACACGAGGGTATGTCAGCAGTAGAGCAGACACGGCTCTCGATCGAAGAGAAGCATGAAATAGAGTAACAGAATATCAAAATCTGAGGAGGCAACTTTCGACAACAATACATCTAAAAGAAAACCATTGAGTATGTAGGAAGGACGGAAACATCTTTGTCGGATGATCCTCAAAAAACAAAGGTCGTGTAATGATTAAGGTCAGCAGAAATCTACATCCAGATGCGCATCGAAAATAAAGCGAAAGGGAAGAATGGCTAACAGTTGGACCTTCATACGAAACAGTAAAATGCGTTGAAATGATATGAATAGAATAAGCAGTCGGTATTCATCAATTCTATTTTATGAAAATCTTTGTGATAAGACTTAACTTTGAACCATAACAAAACAATAAAGTATTAAGATTTAGATTCATACAAAATATCATGTGAATTTTGCTAACCACAAATTGATATTTTTTCACAAGACATCATTTGCACCAACAGTTTTTGATGAGACATGGCCTCATTCAGCTTCTCGAAATGCGATACGACAGACGTAATCAGCTCGGAACCAGTCTTCTTGGGAAAATCACAAACATTCTCGTGCTCTTCTTGTTTGGCCTTAGGCCCTTCCCAACAGCAGCCTAGAACAGCGTACTTGCAATTCGAGATCCTAAAAGCAACCGTACATGAATAATGAGGCTGTTATTCATAATGTTCTGTCAACGTACATCTAAATATGAATACCAGAATTAATTAAATACAACTTCAATACGTCTACGAATACACCCTGGGGGAAATAACCCACCCACCCGCTTAATGTTACAAGATAACTAAATAGAATATACTTGCTTCACTACTGTACCTGGTACACTCTTTGTTGCCCTAGAGAAACGGTGTCTAATTCTCCAGCGCTGTAGGTCCTGATATGGATGAAACAATCAAGGAGACATTAATACGAATAGTGTGATATTTTAAGGCAAAGAAAAAGGAGAAATTTACAAGTAATTTTTATTCATCTGCAACTAGGAATTGATCGGGGAACACTTCTCTCAAAACTCTATGGATAGAAACTATAGCAAGTACTTTTGAGCACAGAAATGTATTTCTTAATTTCCGATCGAAAGCTTTTTAGGGGTCTCTCAAGATCAGAAATAAAAACCAAAAACTTCAATGTAAAAGATGGTGGTAAAGGAAAATTCGTGAAACTTGATCGGCGATAATTTTTTCGTGAATAAATTTTTTGTGAAACATGAATAAAAACATTCTCGATTCCATGAAATAAGAGAAAGCAAAGATCTTTGATATGAAACGGCAAATTCAATATTTTCATGGTTATGATTCCCCTTTACCACCCTCTACCATTCGCAATGTTATATTTCGAATATAAAAGCACAAATTCATGTTTTCTTAAATTCAGTGAATATGCTTCCGCCACTGTTTTGCTTGAACATTCGGACGTGGCTAGAGCATCAAACCCTTCGAAAAACTTCATGGCAACATTTGTGAACCTTAACACATCGAGCCTTGCCAGTATTTTTCGAAAATGATCAATTTTGTTGCCAAGCAAATAAGAAATAGTACAATCAGATGAACACGCATATGGAGTCTTTATATGAATAGTCTAATATATTTTTTATCAGTGTTTAGTTATTAGTGAAGACATTCAGTTTACCGAATCTTCCTTTTGCAAAATCTTTTTTACAAAAAAGCGTATAAGTGCTAGGAACTGTGTATTTCTAGAAACAGAAGTATGCACTTGCATAGTTTCCATCATTTCATAGAAATAGTAAAATGTACACATCTTCTCTTTCTTTGAAATATAAATTTAAAAACTTAGAGCAAACTTTACTTTAAATTACATGAATCTTAGTTTTAAATGAGAAATGAATACCAGCCCATCAGATTTCACTCTGCACGATTTAGTGATGACAATTCTAAGCACCCTTTGAGATAGCCAATTTGACAAAGCATGTACACCCCCCCCCCCCGAAAATAAAAGTTGGGGTGCACACATTAAACAGGGTCAAAAACTGTTTGTCCAGGATTGTAGTAGACCAATGCCTTTGCCAACCTGGGCAGGGTTGGCTTTACAGGTTTATCAGCCATTTACTTATTAAAGTATTTAAGCACAAAATTGAAACCTAGAGGTTGATGCTGAAAGTGTTTGAGAGGGTTATTCTCTCACCAAGTGTTGCTGCCAATTATTAACCACAAAATTAGAATAAAGGAAAGTACAAAAAAATACCACAGTTGTTGATAAATTTCAATATTCTTATCCATAAAGCATACAAATGTGATAGAATACATTGGTTATAGAATACATTTCAGCAGTTGGGTCTAAGCGAAATACAATAATTGAAAATTCCAGTTAAAGCTGAAAAGAACTAGAAGGACAAGCTGCCAACAGTTAATAAACTGACACAACATCAAATAGTCAACTATGGCCAAGCACAGTTTAAAACATTGAAACAGGATTCTGTTTGTTTCTGAATTCTGTTTTTGCAGGTACACTGTCTTCAATAATGGCAAAGGACATTTTCTAAAGATAAATTAACTGAAGTGCAAAATTCATTATAATTGGTTGTAACACCTCCCATTCTTAAATGGGCAACAGGTCCTCTGTGGCATTAATCTAAGGCTTAATGGAAAAACAAGGAACACCTGAGATATTAGAACAGAAAATAATAAATGACTATTATATGTGCCAATACAGGGGCGGATCCAGAGCAAACTTGAAGGGGGGGCAGTTGGTAGTGGGGGCGCTGAAAAATTTTCAAAAATTGATGATGAGAGAATGCTGTATACAACAACTTTAGATCCATTTTTCTGAATAAACAACATAACTTTTAAGTAATCCTGGGAGCAAATTAACCTATTGGTCTCACAAACTTTTTCACTTGATTCTCATTCTTCAAAAGGGGTGCACAATTTCCAAAAAAGGGGCGCCATACTTGCTTCAACTCAAGGAGGGAGGGGCAACTGTCCCTAGTTGCCCCCTTTAATCTGCCACTGTGCCAATATTTTGTGCAGGAAAGACTTACAGCTAAAAATCAATGTATGTACAATAGATTTCCAATTTTCAAAAGTTTGATTTGATTGGCAGGTGGTGAAGGTATTCTGCTGCTGCTGTTGACTTTACACCTGTTTTTGACAATTAAACTGACAAATAATTGTGTAAATCAACAATATCTCTCAGGAACTTACCTTTACCAGCCTGAAAAATCCTAGTTTTCACTAAGAACTGAAAGAAAAACTTTGTCAACTGTAATAGATATTGAATACCTTGTAAAAAATTTGATCGACTGAAAAGAAATAAAACAAGAATGTACCTTTGAAGGCATTGCTCATTTTCATGCCAACGAATCTGACTTCTTGAAAACTCTGTGTGACAGAAGTGACATTCAATAGGCATCTCTAATACTGCATTTTCAACAGCCAAATTTCGTGAGCATATTTTGTGGCTGATCTCAATACGGCAGCTAGGGCAGGTGGCAGGCTCATTTTTCAACCTCGCATCAGCAAGCACGTGGCTCAAGCATCCACTGCAACTGAGATGGCCATTTGGGCACTGCATAAAATAAAAACCTAAAATATATTTCAGAACTAGCTTTTCGTGTATCTGAAGATAATTGTGGTACTTTACTCGCTTTACTGTTACTGACCTATGTAAACAATGTTTGAACACTTTAATTGTGTTTTGATCCACAACATTCCACCACAAACGATTTCAGGCTCACCTTATGCATAATGTCTTAACATACAGTTGCAAATACTATGACAAGCAGCTTTTTAATTTCAACAAGAAATGAAAACTAAGCTGTATGCAGCTGTAGCCAAAGGAAAAGATTGATGGGAAATAAATAAGGCTGATGATGACATCTTTACATTACATATTCAAACAAATCATATTAAAAAGAATTCAAAGCTCCAGATGGCAACTTGTGAACCTCATTATTGCAATGGTTTTTTTTTGAAAGCCTAAACAAGTTAAAAATTAATAGCAAATGATAGAAAGTTATCTTGTTTTGGTGTGATATCAAACATATGGCTTGTTCCTTTAAGTCAAGAAACAGAAATTCTTTTTATAGAGGAAAAGGATACTTATTGATCTTTCATTGCTGAAATTTTCAAAAATATATCAAAACGTTCATGCAGTTCAAACATTATTTCACAGAAAACAACTTTTTTCTGTTGAATCAAAAAGCAAAAATGGCAACTATGGCCAAAAATATGTCTAGAGCTTAAAAATCAGATCACTCTGAAGTTATTTAAGTTAGCATTGAGATGGCATTTAAAATTAGATTAATTTTTCTTCTTTTTTTCTTTTTTCTTTGTTGTGGCGTGTGGTGAGTTTTCTGGGACAAAGTTGATTCATTAATTCATTAATCTATTGTTATTTTCATTATTTTGTAATGTCTATGTTTAGCCACATAGGGACTGATCACTCAACCTGCAAACATCATATCCAGGTCAGTTATATACCCACTCCAGTGAACAGTTGTTTCCATTTTCCATTTTCAGTTATTTTGAAATTTGTTCGCAAGTTTAGTGACCAGAACCTCATCAGTGCGATGCTCTTTACGGGCTTTACTGATTATTGTGATAGATGTAGATGTATCCCAGCCCCTGACAGTAACCCTAGGATCCAGTTCTAATCTCACCACATCTGGTAACTCAAGGAGCATAAAAAATAGTCGAAAATATGAATAAAGACACCGCAGCTTGCTCTACCGAAACCTATAACCAAGACTCAAAAACAATAATGTGAAATTCAAAGCATTCTTGCAACTCAAATTGAAAACAGATCCTGCCTCAATTTGCGGGTCACGCGACACCTTCACAAAGCAAATCATTTAAGCGTGAAGAGGGCCACCGAAATCACAAAATGACAGCCAAATTTTTCACCCTACAAGGTCAAGTGTTGAAATAATTGATCTTTCATTGTTGATACATTGCTGTACCCTTGTAAAAAGAGAAAACTGGAAGGTCAGCCTGACGCGTATCAGCGAAAGGAAGGTTTTCTTTCGTTTTGAAACTTCATTGGCACCGAAAAATTAGTTGCAAACTACCGATATTGCTTTTAAACTGACGCCTCTTACTAAAAAAACACTTCACTTGCCAAAGGCTCCAGCAAGCAAAAACAAACTAATTTCATCATGCGTACATGTGCGTAATAATGTTTTGGTACAAGGCTGTTACATCACTATGAAGCAAATCTGCCACCCGTAAAAACAATTGAAAAACTGCTAGAAATGAAAAGCAAGAATTAAAAAGGAGCTAGTTTTATAATTACCTGATATATGGATCCTGAGGGCAAATCAAGGCACACCGAGCAAGAAAGAACACGTAACAATCTTGTCTCGAGGTCACTTGTACTTCTCGCTTGGCTGTAATCTTGGGCTTTTCTTCGCTTGAAGGGCGGCTGATCGTCACTGACGCCGATCGTTTGGCAAGCGGAGCTCTCACCCTCTGGCGTTATCGACTCTTCAACATCTGCCATCACTTTGAAAAAAATTCGCTTTAGTTTGAAAGATGCAGTTCACAGCTCTTTCCTTTTGCGATGCAGTTCTAATACTAAGTTGCTGCTTCAAATCAGGTTACCTCCCATCAGCTGACAAAAAATTACCACAGATCGTTTGTTTATGATGACGAAATGTTTTGGCAACCTCGTTTGCATAATTCTTGCAGGTTGGCAGCTCCTCCGCAAATGGCCGAGCGGTCTCAAGTCTCAATCAAAAAAGCTCCCACTCTTGAAGAAAATTTTTAAAAGCCTCTACCCTTCTAAAATGCTATTTTTTCCCTTTAATAAGCCCCCATGGGAACTAAATCGAAATAAAACAGAAAATATACCATTAGTGTTAGCGATTAATAATACATACCGTGATTTATTTATTCATATAATTATTTGAATTAGGCAAAAAATTAAAAAAAACTGTAATCAACGAGGAATTGGCGGGGAATACACCGAAGACAACCAATATTGCTGAAAAAAATTATCTTTAGTGCTTTGAATTAAACTTTATTTGATATTTAAGAAAGCTACTAGGTAAAATTATAAATGAACTTGCGAAAGAGCTACATTTCGAGCTATTTGTAAACTTCGAGATAAGACCCTCTGAATTAGGCACCATCCAAAAACTTATTGAATTGATTACCCCCAGAAGCCTTATTGGAGGATATACCGTTTTACCCATTTGTCAAGTTTTTTCTTTGGTATAGAGATTGGGTGTCCATCTTAAAACGAAATTGTAGCCTCGTTTTTTCTTTTTATCGAAAGAAATCTGAAGAGAGCGTAACAACGCAACGATTTTGTTTACTGCAACAGTTTCGGCGTGGGAAATTTTCTCGTGTCCAGGGTCTTTGGCTTTAAATTAATTCACCTTGCCATCAACCCTCTGGCGACAAGAGTTGGTCTTGAGCTTGCTGTATCACCTTCTAGATGAATGCCATATGTGTATATTTTATCGCCGCAATTTTGATACACAATGACACTTAAGAACAACAGAAGCAGTAGCAAACACTTTCTGCATGATAGAGGAGAGGTTAATAGTGCGACAAAGGCGCTTTTACTGCAACACCCATCTAAAAGCCAAATGTGTCGCGCAGGAAACTTATCAAGTTAACATATTTTAAAATAACAGTCTATAATATCAGTCTATATATCTGACCAAAGCCTAATCATTGGAAGCATCTTTTTAATACAATTTTTCAGCCTACTGTAGAGACGCGTATGTGTCTATCAGTTCTCTGATGGTACAGAAAACTTACTATATAAGCCATTAATACTACGATTGAACTTTTCCATTCGAAAAAAAATTTGATAAAAATATGACAGATGTACAACATAAAGACGTTTCATTCAGTCGGAGCATGTAGTCCAACAGTTTTTCCCACAAGAATTTTTTTCAGTGCAACTTAGATCTTTAAATTCAAATTCTCGCATTTCCTTGCGCTTTTGGAATCAGCCAATTTGTGATTTTGAAGCCATCTTGAAACAGATTTTTTCTACTTCCATAGGAGAACAAGAGGTCTATTGATGCTGTTGAACATAAGTAAAGAAAGATTATCTACACTTAAAATCGCACAAATTACGGTACAGGTTAGACTTATCTGTGAAAAGCTACTTTCGGCTTCAGCACTGCTCACAGGCATTAACTGGACAAATCATCTCAGAGGTCTTTCCACTATGATTGTTGGAACAGTTATGGGGTGGCTGAAATTATACGGTAAGCAGCAATTAGATTATAGGCAACAATGCAAAAGCTGATGCAAAGTGTCATGACGTCTTAGTCTCCCATTAAGCTACATAAGTATATATATTAACTATATAAGCATACATTAGAAACTGAATGCAATGAAAAATGCAAAGCCAAAAAATTAATTGCAACTGCCAAAGGAGGCTGCCGATGGCAGAGGGTAGCAAGAGGCCTTCTAAGGTGATTTTCTTTTACATTCAAATTTGGTCCATTTATTTAAACAGCCAAAAAATGAAAATGCAGAGGCAAATATAGAGAGAAAGTAGAGAGGGGTTGACCCCCAAGAGCTCCTCTTTTACACCACTGGTTATGACCGTTTACAGGAGCAGTTTCTTGCAGGAAATGGTATCAAACAATTTAAAAGGACTTCTCACACATGATTTGGATATGATTAAAGTGGATTCTATAAATCTGATTCTTTGCTGAGTACACTTATTTTATCAGATACTTAGTATCTAAACAGTCTTCACATACCTATTGCTAACATGCCTTAAGTGTAAAATGTACAATGCTATATGATATTGGGTCTCAATAGAAAGTATTTTGAGCAGGATCAAGTACTCTTTTATACTGCAAGTCCTTTTCCAAGTGCCAAAACACCCATGGAAAGTGCATAATGAAACCAATCAACATTGGCTAGCCCCAACAGGCCATGTCCCCTAGTGCCAATCACTAAGCCACCAATGATGAAGGCAAGACTCCCAAACACTCCATAAAAATTGATTCCCTTCTTTGATAAGAATAAGGAAATGATTAAGATAGAGAGTACAGCCAATGTGCTACTGAATTCTCTTATAAAGCTCTTTGTGCAAAGTCCAGATGCATGCAGAACAGGTCCAGCAACACTTGTGATCAAATATGCAGTTTGAAGATACTTTATCCCCCCTTGCATACAATAGCTGCTTGCAAGAAGTGGAAGACCTGTCAAAGAATAGAGAGAAGAAAATAAATTTAAAAAAGGTTTTGCATAATTTAGTTGCTACTGACTACCAAAAAGTGCTTTTAATCAAAATTGAAGCAACATTACAGAAGGAAACAAAAATATCGTCTCACCCATCCCTGGGTGATCATCATAAATATTGTTTCACCCATCCTTGGGATTTGTTTCCCTCAGTAGTTTTGCTTCAATTTTGATGAAGGCACTAATAGCAGCAAAATGAAGCAAAAATTACTTAATTTATTTTCTTACGCAATCCCTTGTTAAACCGGTGTTTCAGACCCCTTACACATATGGTTAGGGATGACACTTTAGATGCAATGCAGACTATCAGTAAACATTAGGAGAAAAACACTAAGCAGAAACATATCAGAAGTCTAGGGTCAGTATCCAGCATGGAATCTGTGTGGCTTAGGCATGAAATATCAGGCATGGACGAAAAATGTTATATTTCTACTGTTGTTTGGCGCATATTCGGTGTGAGCTTTACATGGATGTCACCTTGGGTCAGGGTGGCAACAGATCCCAGACTGGAAACGCCTGACTGCATGACTACGTGCCTGAAATAAAGCACTTCTAAGAAATTTGTATTGTTATTAATGTGAAACGTATTCAAATAGGGATTTTGCACGGTCAAAATGCAAAAGTGCGTGGATGGAAAATGTGAGTGCGCTGGCAATATATCGCAAGCGCGCGACAAAGTTTCCAATCTGGAACAGGTCAAAGGGCCAGTGGTTCCAATCCCTGACATGACAAAACTTTGACTCAGAGCACTGCACTATGGTATCTATCCGCAGGCATCTCTCTTATAAAATCGCACATGTTGACAGGGTTTTGGTCAGCCTCAGTGTGTTTACGAGGTACGCTTGTCGCTAAGTGCATTGGTACCCCCTATATTTAGTAATCTTCCCACCCTAAAAGCTTTCTTTGGCATCTCAGTCTGGCATGCAAACTTTGATAAATTTAAAATTTACTGGATAAAGCAACAAGCATGGAAAAACTCCAAGAATTACCTATTGCTGATCCTAGAAAAGAAAAGTACTCGTGAAGCTTTAGAACGGCATGTTGCTGTTGAGGAAAAGCAACTGCAAAGCGAAAGCAACCAAGCCCGCTAGCAAGTGCCAACGTAAAGAATCCAAAAACTGTTGACGTATAACCGTCATTTGCTACCTTAAAGCCAGCAACTGAAGCAACACAGAGTACTAAATCTGAAAATGCAGTTAAAATTGCTCTTTCCTCCATGGCTTTCACTTACAGTGCTTACAACAAAAACTCCATAATACATTTGTCTCGTTTTCACAAATGAAGCCATTTTTTAAAAATCTCGTTCGTGCTGTCCCACGAAAACAACGAGAATATTTTATGGATTGAAGAAGAAAACGCATTAGGTAGGAACATAAATCCAGAAGATGAATATTCTACCAAAGAAAAGGTCAGATATCTCTATGCGTCATTTATTATTATATTTCCAAGACTCTTTATTTTACCATAGTATCCAATTTTTTTTCTGGTGTTGAAATTGAATTGCTAAAAGAACAGTAAGCGTTCCTATTACATTTCCTCAAAAAGCTACAGAATTGTTTAAACTGGATGTTGCCTATATAATTTTCCAGCATGACAACAATCTGGCAAACAAGGAAGTCACAATTTAAAGAAGGTAACCAGGACTTCTTGATAAGCAAAACTTTCAGTCCTACATACTCCCTTTTAGCTCTGCACTGCATAACAATAGTCCAAATAGGCCTAAGCAAATAAATAAATATAAATAAGAATGAAGCTGAAGCTTGAAAACCTGTCAGTTTTTCTAAATAAATTTTTCATAAAGCTTTTGTTATGTAAAATGACTGTCACTTAATTGACCCTTTTGTGAAGTTTGTACATTATTTTTTGTTTACAGTTAATGTTAAAGTATCTCAAGATTTCTTTTAAAAATGCAGATTTTTAGTGTGCATTGGAAAATCAATCAATGCAGCCACTAAATAAATCCATTCATCAACTTCTGTGTTTTTCCAACCCTGCCATTCCTGTTTAACATGTGGAGGACACAGAGCCAGTAAAGAGAGAATGTGCCTACTGTGTGTCTTGATTCTAACTGAGCTAAATTACATACAAATTAACATACACTCCCCTCACAAAAGTATTGCACCACCCCACCTCGAAGGAGGGAAAATGGCGCAACAATTATCGAAAGCTATTGTTGCGCGAATTGATTGTGTTTAAGTGGCGAATGGGAGTGTGTTGGAAGTGAAACAACCACCAATCAAAACTTCAATCTTTTTAGAAAACGTTTTTCAAAATAACAGTCTCAAAACGTCTTTTAACAGTTTCAAATTTTAATATTTTGACGGGAGCTGTGAACTTTGAAACCGCTTTATGCCTCCTTGAATTGGTTGCATATAATTGGGCAACGTATTATTGTGGAATTTCATTCCAAACCTGAAGAATTATTTTAATTAACGATTCTTTAGTTCTTCAAGAACCTTTAAAATCATGGTTCAGATTGTTTTTCATACGAAGCCAAACATTTTCAACGATGTACAAATCTGGACTTGAACGACGCCACAGAAAAACTTAAATTTATCTTGTTCGGAAATAAATCGTTGTAAAAATGGTTTCCTTTTACGCAGGTGAATTTTTATTTTATATTTGTGCAAGACACTCATTATTTTTTGTTTGGAAGAATTTTGAGCTGCAAAACATTGCTCAGCGTCAAGTTGCATGTCTTTTACTGTACCTTGGTGTAAACATGGTGAAATAAAAAAGACAGAATCGCTACCCCTCTAACGTCAATTTTTTTTATTAACCCACTTCTCGGTTTATTACTACTGAAGCACTCTTGAGAAACCTTTTTTGATTTATTGAAGCTGTTGTGTGGCTGCATCTAACATGGTCAACAATTTTTCAAAAACTAAAGACCACTTCCCTGTAAAAATTTTGTAGGGACTCGCATCTCATTTGACAAATTTTCTCCCTTTGGCGTGGTCTACACTTTTTCAAACAATAATGCTTTTGCGTTAAATTTACATTTCTAACTAGGTATTATATGGCGTCAGGAAAATTTGCAAACTTTTCCCGCCGAAATTTGCTATAAAATATGCCTATTTCACCAATTCATGCATTCAAATGTTTTGTATTGTAAAAATATTGACAAAAAGTGCCGCCATTTTGAACAAGGTGGTGCAATACTTTTGTGAGGGGAGTGTATGTATAAAAAAATCAAATTACTGACCAACGATGAATTAGGATGATGAAAGGCTGACGTAATATGATTGTGAAAATCTAGTCATAGAATAGGAGAAGCTGAGTCAGCAAAACTTAGAGATTAGAGGAGGTGTAAACATTGGTGAAGGGAATGTCCGATGATAAGTGATGCCATGAATGATCTTGGTGATGGCATGCTCAATGAATGAATGGGAAATTATAGAAAATGGCCTAAGAAGATTCACTGTGTAGCTTCTCTCCTTGAAGGCAAGCGGTAGCAAAGAACTGGTACATATGAAAATTACTTCAACATTCGAAAGTCCAGTGTATTTGTCAACTCGCTTTCATATACCATGCAAGCAGTGATTAAAATTTTAGTTACAACAAAGTCCAATATTGAGCAAAGATTTGTGAGTAGGTTTACCAGGAACCTGCAACAAGTGAATTGCCAAAGGTTTTATGAGCTGGATGACCATGAACCGGTAGAGCTGTTTTGTGTACAGGACAGTGGGTCTCTTGGTACCCAGTTGAAGAAGACAAGTGAGAATTACACTGTGGTTGAGTGCTGAGTGCTGCCTTGCATTGTTTGCCAACATTTTCCAGGAGCAGAATTTTGTCAAACTCACATACAAATACCAACTTTTGAAAGTGTTCATCGAACAATGTTCGACAGCAGCTGTGATGAGGCATGTGTTTGATGCCATCAAAGTATACATGTTGTAAAAGAATCAGGATTAACCAATGATGGTCACCATTTTTGGGTGCTTTGGGATATCGATCAAAGCAGCCACTAAGTAAATCCATCTATTGACTTATGTGTTGTTTCCAACTCATTCCTGTTTAATGTGTGAAGAACAGGGAGCCAGAGAAGAGACAATATACCTATTGCGTGTCCTGATTGGAGCTTAATTACATACAAATGAACATTATTTTATAGAAAATCAAATTGCTGACTAAGGATGAATTAGGAAGACGATGCAGTAAAAAAATAGAGAAAGATCTAGATATAGAATAAGAAAAGCTAAGTCAACATGAATGAGAAAAGCTGTAAAAGAATGATAAAGGGAATGTCCTATGATATGAGATGCCATGAATTACCTTTAATAGGTAATTCACTTAGAAGTGGTGATGACATGCTCAATGAATGAGAAGGAAGTTGTGAAAAATTTCATATTACATAGAGTCACTAACGGATTTTTAAAAAATTAATGTAAATTGAAAAATTGATTTTGAAAAAGATTTATTTTAAAAAAAATGATAATTGTATGGATTTGTGGTAAAATCCATGAGTTTAAAAGCAAAATGTCAGTGTACCAGCAACTTTCTTTAAATTCCTTGTTCTTTTTTATTATTTTTCATTTTTTAATTGCCTTTTTTTAAACCTATTGAGGAGGGCTTGTTTTAGTTTTATTTTCTTTATGGTAGCACTGTGGGCAACAGAGACTCCTAGGTTAAGCAAGAGTTGGCAGATCTGATGCTAAAAAGATAATCACTATTCTTTTTTTAGGTGGCATGTTCGTAATAAGGATAATGTTGCAAGAGTTAGAAGAGATGAACAGCTAGCTAAAGAAGAAGCAGAGGAAGCAGAGAGAAGAAGAGATCTTTCGGTTGGTGACACTCTATTTAGTTGCTAAAAGTTGATAGTGGACAGTTAATTTCTAGATTCTAATAGAGTTTGACTTAAGTACACATAGGTCAGCGTTTGCAAGTGCTTTTCAAATAAACGTTATTGGTTAGTAATCATAGTTACATGTTCATTTTTCTCATTTTTATTTAGCTCAATTTATACTTTTTCTTTTAAAAGAACATTGCTTCCATCAATAATTTTGTTTGTATGATTTTCTGGCTCACTTTATTAACTCATTAGCATTTAATTATGCTTTTTATCACAAGATACATATTAGTTAGCTGATTGAAATAAAGCAAGAAAGCCTTAAACTCGCTGGAAAAGCTCAGCCAAGCTTTTGAACCATGTGACCCTGCCCATGTCAGATGTCTGCCAAGTCTGGGTTCTTGTACCTGTTTAAACATGCTTGAATTACTGAATAATAATTTGACTTTACTTTGTTCTTAGCAAAATCTGTGCTGTGTTCTGAAATGTTTCTTTTTGTGTCCAAGAATGGAATCATCTTCCTCTATTGCCCTGTTGTTATTAATTACAACATTTATGACTGACTTGTTTCATCTGAAAGCACAGTGCTGGTTTAAGAATTAAATGTACTAATTTATTTCAAAAGAAATTATGTGTAGTTGAGTGACATATAGCTTTTGTTTGTAGGAAAAAGAAGCTAGACTTGAAATATTGAGAAAAAGACTGGTGCAAGAAAAAGGAGACAGTTCATTGGAAGGCTCATTTGAAAATTCTACTCATTTAAATCTTTTCAGAGAAATAGAAGAAGGGGTATTTATTTATTTCTATAACGATAGCAGAATACTGTACATTGAAGCATTATTTTATGCTATTAATATGCAACTAGTTAAAGAAGCATGACAAAGCAAAAAAGCGGAAGAGAGCAGTGCAGTAAATAATTGTTTCTCATTTTAAATAATTATTAAATCTGTTTGACTATTGACCAGGAATTATTTTGAAACAGAAGTTGATTACCAAGCCAAGTATTTGAATAGTTACCAAGTATTTGCTGTTTCTGTAGTCAAAAGGAGCAAAAGTTGGAAACAAAGAATATGAAAAAGAGAAAAAGGAGCAGCAAGAGTCATTTGAGAAAAAAATCGGTTTATTGACATATTTGGGGCAATCTGTTACTAAAGGTAATTTGTTTCATTTCATAATGCTGTATCTTTTGTTCATAATTTGTTGGAAAATTGCGCAAATGTTAATAGTAGTATCATGCTTGGTGTATAAGAGTCAGCCCTGTCAAAAAAATGAAATTAGTAATAAGCTTTCTCCAAGCCTCCATAGCCAAACTCATACAATGAGATAATGTTAAGAATAATGTAGCATGAATTGTCATGAGAATTTACTGCTATAGTGTACCACATACCTGTTTCTGTCAGGGTCTGCATTAAGAATTTTGTGGCCCTGGACACAGAATATAACAAGAGCTCTTGTGTAGATGTCCCTACCTGATAATGTGATACTGGTTGCAAATGGGCCTGAACTAAAATGTATTTGTCCAAAAGTTGGAATCTCATCAATTGTCATAAATTCTTTTCCAAATGCATCCCAGAAAATCTCCCAAAGCATAGTTCCTATTGTGCCCTGTTGTTAACGCTGCACTTGTTGCTGTTATCTATACAGAAAGGGAACTATTTATTGGTCATCTTTTGTTAACCAATGTTTCTGGAAATTTGATTTAATAAACTTTGATTTTAGTGGTTGTCATATTGTTTATTTTGAAGATGAAAGTCCATGGTATCTAAAAACTGAAACAGGAAAAAAGAGAGACAATTCACTTGAGTGAGTTTATTCATTTGCTTCTAGCATTAAAATTAATGAACAGTTTATTTGTGTATTTGAAAAAAGCCCGTTGACAGTTATAATCCTGCATTATCAACAAACTAAATTTAATAGAGTCCTGTTGCAGTGCACCAAAGCACCAAAGTACCAAAGTGCAGTGCAACATTTTAATCAAATAGGCTCAAAATATGATGAATCTTCTTTGTTGTGTGGAAAAATGTCAAGAATTGCGCTGAATTGACTGATACACTTCTTTGATAAATCTGTTATGGGTTGTGATGCACCAAAAAAGGAAGGCTTAAGCATTCAACAATGTCGAACTTTTATAGAATAATCAGCTGTTACATACATTAAATAGTAGTAAGCAGTAGTATAAACTTGAAAATTTATTTGAATAATGCCACCATGGATCATAGAAATTTGATAGATGGATATCTGCATGCTTTCTTTTTACGCATTTAGAACTTTGGATCGGGTCGAGGAAAAGAAAAAAAGAAAATTAGACCCTATGGTAGAAGTTGAAAAATATTTAAAAGCAAAGACGAAGAAAAAGACTGAAGATAAACATAAGAAGCACAAAAGAAAGTATAAAGAGGTGAATGATTTTACGCGACTTTAGAATTACAAGGACAGCGCACGATTTCATTTAGAAGTCACGTTGTACTTTTGGGCTTCAGAATCCTAAATGCTAAGGTATTTCATTGCTTCCTAAAGATCGACGTCTTACCCTAGATTCCATGAAATTTCTCGTTATATGCGCTAAATATCTTGCTTTTGTGGCCCTTGGAAATCTCTTATGAAAAATAACACTTCAGAATACCAACCTTTTCAAGCTGATCTCGCTAGAACTCTTTACAGAAACTGACAAAGTGGAACAGGTTGTAACGTATATCATTTTAGCGATTTGATCTGTTGTCAATAGTTTCATGTATTGTTGCTGTAAACATTTTAGATTGAAAAGGCATCAGCTGCGCCTCCTTCTTCATCCATTGAATTACTCCGTTCAAAGAGGCTGAAGAGAGAGAAAGAAGAGAGGGCAAGAGCTAATCAGCTGACGAGGGAAAAAACTGGAAAGTCTGATCTGCTTCAAAGAGACAGCTATGATCCGTCAAGGTAATGTTGAATCTCAAGAATGAGGTCTTGTTATTTCAGACACACAAGGTAGTGTTTGTTTGCTAATTCAGTTTTATATCGTGTAAGGAATATGCAAATGTTGTCAAAATTCAATAATTTTAGTCAGCCATCAATATATACCGTAACCTTTGAAACTCTTTTTTTTTAAGGGACTTTTTTCGCGATCCATTCTTTGTTCATTTTTTCAACTCTAAACACAAGATGGATAACATCTACGAAGCCTATAGCAAGAACTTCTGTGCAGGAGCATTGTTGGTTTTAAAGGCCAAAATAAACTTCATTCTTTTAATTCAATATTAGCAGAAAATTCTATTCCCTGGCATATTGTTCTGTTAATAGCGTATAGACGTTTTTGCATGTTGTCCTTGTATGATGTAATTGCGACGTTTTTGTTGAATATGTAAATCATTGATCTCTTAATTCACAGTTTAATTAGGGAACCCCCGTCGAGTTTCGATATCTTTAACAAACCGAATTAGCAATCATCTACTCTGTAAGTCTGTAAGCTCTTTATCATATATTTACTAAGTTTTGAATTTTTATTCTCCTTTCCTGTCAGGTATTCATCGCAATATAACCCAGAATTTGTGAGAAAACCAAAGACTTTTGCAAGTAGGCGGTAGTCACTGTCGTGGTGCAGACGGCAAAAACAGAATGACGTAAGTATTTTTATGAGCCAAGTTCAACAATACTTAAGAACTGGTTATTAAAGAGCCTGCAAAAACATGTTTAATAAATGTCTCAATTTTTTGATAGTTTGATCACAATATTTCAAAGCATTAAGCATCGAAATGGTTCTTTTATTAAGGCTTTGAAAATTAATTGTTTACGTTGTCTGTGTCATTGTTGTTGGGGGAATATATAAGAATAGAGTTAAAGTATATTACAGTTGAATCCCTTTAAGTCTGACCTTCAAGGGGGTGACGAAATGGTCTGACTTAGTGAAAGTCCGAGTTGGCCGAGATACGATTATCACTTGAATAAGGAAAGAATACCCAATGGGAGTTTAATATCGGTCCTACTTAGTGAAAGTCTGAGTTATCCAGAGTACGACTTAACGTGATTCAACTCGGGTTTGAAATTTTTTGTAGCACTTGAATGCAGGTGTTGTTTTCTGTAACTAATCTTCCATGCTAACCGGTTTTGGTGCAAACAATATCCAATCCAATATCTTCTCCGGCAAACTTCATATTCATTTTTGAATATTTGTAGGTCTTTGAATGATAGCACTGACCACGTATCTTTACGGCCAGATGTCCGTGTGCCACGAACGCACCATTGCATCACCACTTTTGAATGTGCAGGTGTATACCATAGCAGACATGACGGTACTGGTATTTCAAAGACTGGCAAACATAAATTGTGTTATTGGGAGTTGTGCCTGAACTCACAGGATATATGAAGATCTGCAGTTTTAATAAGTTGAGACACTGTCACGGTGACAGTTAAAAACTTGCCAAGGCAGGTGCAATGAGATATTTTGGTAACTTTGCAAAGTTTTGATATTAAAAGATGGAATGAGTTACAATTATTTCACAAATGAGAATCAGTGTCATTTAATTTTCACGACTTTTGCAAGGTGTAAGCCCGTTCAAAAACCTTTTTAAAAGTCTTATTTGAGGTTAAGTTTCCACCTATAATTTGTCTCTATATTAAAAGTCAAATGTCAAGTTCGGTCGAATTCAGGGATGTAATATATATTTCATTCGTGAGCGAGAAAATATTGCTTCCAGCTTCGAAAGCACAAAAATGTCATAAGGCCGTCACCTAGAAAGTAATGAGGTACATTTTCGTGGGCCCTTTCTTCCATAATTGGACTGAATTAAGCCATAATAATCTTAATATTGCTGCTCTTCCCCCCATTCAAAATATTTTATGGATAGAATTATGGTCAATGTTTCTAGTTATATCTTTTATTGGAGCAGAAATCAAGAAACACGTAATGTTGGGTATGCAAATTATGCAAAGAAAAGATCAGAAAAGTAAATATCGATTAGTTAGGACGTTAAAACTACATGACCTTGAATTGTTTTTAAATACCTTTGTATGCTACTAGAAACGTTCGAAGAACTTCCCAGGTAAATTGGCGAAGATCCCCGCAAAGTACGTAGCTGCATGCAAGTTAGTTTCACTGTTTAATCCAGGTTGCTGTTAAAACGCCATATCGCAAAGGCCCATGTGGTCACTCAAAGAAAATATTATGTACCAGCATGTGGTCACTCATACCAAACCAAGGTTTGGGTTTGGATACGAATTAGCGTTAAAGAGGTACGTAACTTTAGTATCGAGAATCATGTAGTTCTATTGGTCAATGCAGAGGCGCCGGAAGCTTCATGATGCGGCGGGGTCAGGAACTGCAGATAGGGCACCGCCCATAATGATACGTTTGAATAAAGACTACAGTCAAATTTAATTCTCGAAATTTCTTTCACCACAACATCAACCATCAAGGGAGGCTGGACCCAATCCTACTTTACATAAAAAGAAAATTTTGTTCTTATGACCATCTACATGGCTTATAAAACTTGTGGATATAACTCCTCTGAACATACTGTTTTTTGTATGAAAAGAAAAAGGATAGGCTGTCCGCCGGATTCTGTGAATCTTGCAATGAGTATCATATGAATACGTACGAAGATGTAATTCAGGAACAAAGCAAAACGGCGACGAGAATCCAATGTAATAAGATAAATTTTCAAAATGAATAAAATTAAACGAATACTAATATTTCGCCCCGGCATACAGGGCTTCATCAGAGTAAATGAAACGAAAGAGTGAATGAATTTAAAATGTAAGATGGTGATGCCGGATTGGGAGATGTTGGATGGAGTGAATGCCGCGCAGCGGAGAAGAAAAGGGATGATGGAAGTGGGGGAGGGAAGGGTGGTGGGTCATAGAATAAAAGGGTAAATTAAATTGTAGTTGTAGGTCTCTTTTAATTTTACTAGAACGTCTGTGGAATAGTTTCTTATTCAAATTATGACATGAGTAACTAATACTACAACATAAATGTTAAGTAAGGTGTTGGTACAAGCATGAGAAAGTTGAAACCATAAAATGTTGAGGTGTCTTCTGAGTTCTGCTGCTGTTTGATGATGCTGCGCTATTAGAAGTTCCATTTGGTGTTGTGCATAAAAGAAGGTATTACGATGCGAGAGGAAGTGAAGTTGTGATTGTAGGGTGTAGTGACCATTGTCAAGTGTTCGTGTGCAGTTTTAGAACTAAGCCGTTCGGTACTATTTGCATTGATGAATGCGTGCGGATGAAGACCAGATGAAGTCCAACTAATTCAAATTACTAACGCTTACCGTAAAAGCTCTATTAAGCTCCCACTCTCTATTGAGCCTACCTCTCTATTAAGAACCCCCCTGTTTAGCCTTTGATGTCAAACATAGAAATCATGCGCATTTAGTGGGTCGCTTGAAGATCGCGTGCGTTAAATACGGCCTATGTAAAGACTAACTTGTGCGACTTAGTAGTCAATCGAAATTGGTTTTGAAGATATCAGAGGGGTATCAATTTATCCTGGTGATATTGATGAAGATGATGATCTTATAATTGATTGATTAAACAGTGCGGTCGGAACGAATTCATATTGGGGGAGGCTGCCCATTGTTTTCCTTCTAATTCACTACACTGTTATAAAGGAAACATACTACAGTTTGACAATTATTGGGGGGCTCCAGCCCCCCCCCCGGTTCCGACGGGCCTGTTAAACTTTCGAAGCTGCTAAATAAATGAGCCCTTAATAGAGCTTTTATGGTAATATGATTTAAATCAAATTCAACTGACGTTGCATACATATTCCTTGCAAAAATCACAAGTAATCGTACAAATGAACCATGAAAATTCTGAGATTTTTTTTAATATTCGTAAAGTTGGGGCTACATTTGTATGACAAAATCTTAACAGCTAAAGGAATCATTTCATTCTGTCATTGGGACTTCTGAAGAGAGACAACTTGGCTTCAAAAAGGCTTCAAAAATTTTCTTTTGAAATTTCAGATTTCACCAGGGTTGCCACCAGGGTTGCAATAAGGATCTCGTAAGAAACTCAAATCACTCAAATCTTTAAGAAGCTTTTAGTACTGGCTCATAAAAATAAATTCAAGCTAACCAATTCAAGTCGAGTCTTCAGGATATTTTTTAAGGACATTAAATGGGGGGAATTCAAAAAAGGCCAACCAGGACAAGCAAAATTTTGGCGAGCATGGCCTCTAGATTAGTTTAAAATCGATTTCAGAATATTTTTTGCAGTTATTCTGTTGCAATCGTTTAAAAAGTTGTAAAATTTTGTTATGTCTTACTAATTGCTTTCACTAACTGGAAAGCTCGAGGGCCCCCTAGACCTCAAGGCCCAAGGCCAATTTGCCATCACCACCACATTTCAGTAACCCTGGTTGTGATCTTGCTGTTTGGTGTTACTAAAAGCAGATCGGATGGAAACATTTTAGATCATGGCCCCAAAATATCACCCCTTTGTTCATTTTGTATAGCATCTAAGCAATTCAAGGGCATTTTTTGGTTATGCAGCTGGCAAAAAAGAGCAACTTGGTAAGCTACAAAGGAGCATTTTACCTGAATTTTCGAAAAGTGGGGGCATATACACTCTGTGTCCCCCGATTCCTACGCCTTTGCTTGAATTTAAGACATTATTAATGCCTTTACTGATATATCGAACATCTGGAGTCAAAGTTGGCAGCAATCTGAAATCTCTTCAGCATGATCGTAAAGGTTAAAGAGAACTCATCAACGAAATCTTGTGTGTGGTCAAATTGCTTGGCAAATCGATTATCAGTTCTCATTTAAATGGAAAATATCGACTTTTCTCTTGCATGTAGGTAACAAGAGATATATGAAACCCAGATTTCATTAGAATTCAAAATATTGATATGAACTGATAATTCTTGGAAATCAATTTCATAAAAATGGCACTTTGCTGCCCCCGCTGCCCCCGCTGCCCCCGTGACTCGGCGCCCTTGGGTCATTGTCTACCTTGAATAATTCCACTTGACAAAAAGTAGAAACGTTAAGCGATTTCAACTATTTTTCAAGCGAATTGTTCAACCGCTTTGCTCTAAAAGTTTTATTTTCTGTGCAATTTTAGACGCGAAATTTCAGATGGATGCTGCCAAAAAACGTCAATGAACTAGAAATGTTGTTGTTGTGGCAATAAGTTTCGGACACTGGGACAGATCGAGGGCCGAAGTGCATTGTTGGACAGCCTTGGTTCACTTCCATATATTCAAAATGGCGAGCCTCAGACAACTGTCAAAGCTTCCTGTGAGTCGTTTGGCCACGAGACATTTTTCCCTTGCCTCTCGTTCATCGGCATACATTCGAGTTGATCCTACTCCGTACGAAAGGGTAGAGGCAGATTCATCCTTGTCTGCACTCCTTGCGAAGGAAAAGGGACCGTGGTCGGCCTTGACTAAAGAGGAAAAACTACAACGTAAGTTTGTCGTAAACTGTTGTTCATTGGTAATTTGAAATGTTCATTTTCTTTTGTAGGCATTAATAATGATATTTGAAAAGTAGGTTAAAGTTTCGTATAAACATAAACAAAAGTGTCTCAGCCATATTTCCCTTGAAGTTATTCTTGGTGCACCTCGCATAATCACACAGCTTAGCTGCTGTTTCAACGCATAGCTCAAGTTATGCTGACAACTGTTTGCATTTTCTATATGTAGACCACTTTTCTATTTGCATTTTTCTTGTACAAAATTTTTGACCCCAGATTCGGATTAAGAACAAGAATTTAGTCACTTGGATGTTTTCATTATGTTGTTGCTCTCAATATATTGATTTTATGACGACATAAAGATAAAAATTTTATAAGGGATTTGACCGTTATTGACGACAAAAGGGGTAAATTTCCTCTAAAAATGACTTTGCAGTCAAATCCCTTACAAGTTTTCAAACTTAATTTCTCAGTAAAATCAAAAATATAAGCACAAACAATATGTAAAGTTGAATCTGGCCAAAAGTATGGTGATAAAACCAAATCTGGTCTCAAAAAAGTTGTATAATGAAGTTTGGAGTAATTTCTAGAACAAGGCAGTAATTTTTCATAAATGACCAGTCCCTGCCCTTAGCATATTGGCCTTTGTGTAATAGTTTGCCAGTGTAAATTAAACACACAAAAGTCATGTAACCAATGCAGTTATTTGTTTACAATTTTCTAGTTAGAAATTTTTTTTATTTTCTGTTTCAGTCTACAAAGCTCAGTTCCCAGAGACTTTTAAAGAGACTTTGACTGGAGAAGACCACACAAAACCTGTTGTTGGAGGTATTGCAATTGGCCTTGCTGCTGCAGTTTTGTTTTTTGCTTTCTTAAAGACTTACAGTAAGTATATTTTGGAAGATTTTATTTCTAGCTTTTTGCTTGAAATTGTTAGCTTGCTTTTGATGTAATTGATGATGAATAGCGTTTTTATGAAAGCAATTTGCAGGCAATTAAGTAACTACTTGAAACACACACACATACCCAGTCCTGGTAATATGAAATTTGGCGGCATGCTGGTAATCGCACGCCTTGAAAAGTTTAGGCGTGCGATGACGTTCGATCAATAAAATGGAGACCTTACAATTTTTATGAAGACCTGATGTCATTTTTGTATTAGAAAAGCGTATGAGGTTTTCGTAAAACCAAAAAGATTTCATGGAATTCTAGAAAAAAGTTTCTTGAAAACAAAATAATTTAACAAAAAAGATACAAGTTTTATAGGCTCTGTTGCCATTACTCTGTTTCCGTATGAGAACAAATTCGATTGAATCTGTTTTTGAGTTTGAGTTTCATTGATACGCTCAAAAACGGTGTCATTTGATACCAAACCGAAGTTATTCAAAACCGCCGTTCAAAGTGGAGTAATTGGAAAACGGAACCATTTGAATATACATCATTTTAATGGGAACAGGGAAGACAGAGGCATTCAAAAACATGGTCATTCAATCTCAGTTTCAAAAAGAGCTCGAGCTAAGGATATGAAAACGGACAAATATGGAGTAATGGAAACACCCACGTTATCGTTTTGACCAAAACAGAGTGGCCCGGGGCAATGTGTTCAAGAAAATAAGAAAAGAACGGAGAGAGAGAACGGAGACATACAATAACGGAGTAGCAGAAAAACGAAGTAACGGAAACCAGGCCTAATGGAAACAAAGTAAAGAGATCTAAAATGCCTCCTGAAATGCTATCAATATAACCCACACAAAAGAAATTAAAAGAAACAAAAGAGGAAAAGAACAATAATTCAAAACGTGGAACTGCCGGTGCGATAGAAAGCATGTTTCAGGAGTTCTAGTCGTCTGTGGAGGCGTGCGCGTGCGATCGCACACCTAATATTACCAGGACTGCATACCCCTTGAGCTTTGCAGGATGTTATCAAGCTTCAACATTCACCATTAAAAATTGACAGGGTTATTTGTCTTTTCCTACCTCATCACTGACAGTATATGCTTTTTAAGAGAAGCTAAGCTAGGGGTTAGAATTCAGTTTCAATGTTTTGTTGATTTTAGTGTACTAAGTTTCTTAAAGGTTTCTTACAAACATAATACACAATATCATGAAATGAAACACAGTTACAAAAACTTCTTCTTTCGTTTATTCATTTTAATTGAAGAGGAAATAGTTGTCTAATCTTTGAAACAATGAACTCTCATCCCCCTCTTCGAGAGAGGATCGTAGTGTTCTCTCAATTGAACTTTTGGAGCTGCGGATTGCTCTCCTAAACTGTTCTAAAAACAAATTGCTCTCCTTGATATCAATTTTCCTTTGTTTCTTTTCTTATTTAACATTAAATAGCTCACCTGGAGATTACCAGAAGAGCTGTTTACTGCTTCCCTGCTAAAAGTCTTTGGCCAGGCCCTTATAATAGCTATACATATTTTTTTAGTTGGACCAGAAGCACCAAGAACTGTAAATCCAGAATGGAGAGCAGCCAGTAAAGAGAAGAGAAAATTGTATAGACAAAACCCAATCACATCAGCTGATCTGTGAGCATTTCTGACTATTTGGGAATTCCATCAAAGTATAATTGTCAGAGACGTTCATTAGTTGCTTATGAATCGAAATATGAACACATGCATTGTAATGTTTTAGTTCTTCAAACCGTTGTTCAGTGAAAATTGAGTTTGATTTTTGTGTGTCAAAATGGCTTAGAGAGGTACTGTCTGTTTTTTGTCTGAAATCTTTTCCAACAAAATTCTCTATGGTATCTGTAAATGGTTAGGTCTGCCCTGTTCTTTTTGTTTCAGGAATCAAGCTTTTTGTATGAACCATTATTTGGCAAATCATGCATTGCAGTTTTTATGGCAATATCTTCTTACATTTTCCTTATTTGCAAGCCTTCATGGACAAAGTCAGTGTTGTAATTTTTTTTAGATTTCCTAACATCCTTCCAGGTATGTTGCCAGTGCCCTAGTATGGATCCCTTGCAGTCTATAGGTAATATTTTATCCAAAACTTGACCTTCTATAGGTGGAGGCTTATTTGACACATAGAATATATTTAAAAAAGACATTAAAAAAGCTCAAGATTATAACAGGAGAAGACCTTTAATTGATAATAGCCAGAGCCTCATTATTGGTAAGGTTTGAAATAGTAGGACCCCATCGTTTATAATACCATCCATAGGTGCTCCAATGTAAATAACATTTTAAAGTAGTTGTTATCAATTTAACATCCCTTCTTATCTGCCATCATAATTAAGGGTTCATTCAAAACTAGACGCTTATTCAAATGTGGGACTTGATGTGAAGGAGGAGGCTTTTTCTAGGGAGACTCTTTATTGAATTATTAGGCTATTGTTTTTGCATGCTGGTTTGGGATTTGGTTGGTTGAGAAGCCTGTGAGTTTAGCAAAATTTGATGTCATTTAAGCTTCTAGAAAAGTTGGGAACTTTAGTTGAACTTGGGATCTTGAACTCAGATCAGAATATGAATAAATTAGACAAGTATAAATGTAAATCAGGGTTTATAACAATCATCTATCGAATAGTTTCCTTTTTTATTGAAATTGATAAAAGACATTTTCAAAAATTAACAAAACTTTCCTATTTAGCTACCCAGAGTATATACTTGCATCATGGTGAGGAAAAAAGTCTTAGCCAGTTTTCGAGAAAAATGCAAGTGGTTGTAGAAGTACTTTAATTTCTAAAAATACTAAAATTCATAGTTCATCAAGGATCCCATATACACACTTTTTATGAAAAATTTGTTAAAGTTATTTCCTAAATGGAAATAAACGACAATGCTACTTTGCATGTTGAATGAGATCTCAGTGTACGTATATAGTGTAAGAACGTTACAGCAAGCGATTTATTTCGAAAAGCAATTTATTTCAATCCCGGAAAATATCTTGGAGTTGCAGTTCAGTTCCTGTGAAACCGCCTGACGGTATGTAAAATAGAGACTGCAGCGAGTCCTGAACTTGGAAATGAGATTTTCTTTTGGTTCTTGTTTGGGGGATGAATCATGCCCGTCCTCCAGACTATGCACTAGCCCCCCTTTTCATGCGCGTTATCACTTGAAGCCCTGGCGGGCAGGGATGCCTGCACAACATTAGGGCAGGAGTGGCAGTGTTAGTGCTGAGGGCAAATCGTATAATTTTTCTACTAACATAATCGAGTATTCCTGGAAGGGGGGCCAGGTTGGGGTAACATAATAAAATATTAACATGGATATGTGCCACCCATACAGCTGTTCAATTATCTTATGAAGAGAGACTATTGTAAAGTATTGTAACGGACATATCAGGGAAATGTAAAAGATTCATCAGGGAAAGATTCTTAGGGAAAGCAGGCCTGTCGGAACCGGAGGGGGGGGGGCTGAAGCTCCCCTAATAATTGTCAGACTGAGAGGGAAAACAATGGGCAGCTTCCGCTGCAAAAAAGATACGTATAAACTATACGTAAGGAATGGGATTTCGCCTAAAAATGCATATGTTCCAACCCTCTCGATATGACCAGGAGACTCCCGATTTCAAAGGTCATATCCCGACCTCCCGACAATTAAAAAATCCTCCCGATTTTTGAAAAAAACTTATAATAAAAATAAAAAGCTGGTATAAAATAAAGAAGAATCAAGATCACTGTCAACAGTGCAACCTTTTCATAACGGACAAAAAGATTCGATGTATTCACAACATTACAATAGTTACGACATCGGATAAAGCCAGACGCCAAACTGGAATTTTATTGCTCAATGCTTTTCGTAACAAATTCTTTTGAAACTCAACCATCCCCCGTCTTGAATGCAGATTCTCCAATTCTTTATGAAACAATCCAGAAAGAATTTTGAAAATGAATCTTATTTTAAAGACCATATGGTTCACATCACGCGAACATTAAGGTGGCCAAAGTTGCCTTTTTCGTGGCATATATAAAAGAGGATCAGACTGTAACAGATAAACTTTGATTTTCCCGTTTTCTCGCTTTCCTCTGTCAGAATTATGCTTTCCGTAAGCTTCCTACACAACCATCTTCTTGGCAAGTATCTCTGAATAAAATTCCTTTGCTCTATTACAGAATAGAAATTCCTTTGCTCTATCTATTCTGGCTCTATTCATAATTTAAACGCCATTGTTCTTCAACAATTAACACGTGACTTAACGTACGATAGGCCAGATGGGTTGTTTCAAACCAAGTCATTCATATCCATCCTGGAGGCGTGAAAGCTGCCATCAAATCTAAGGAAGGTGAGTTATTTAACCCTCTTAATTGTTTCATGTCTTATGTTAACGGAATGCCAAGCTTCCTATTCACAAGGCAGAATGTATATTGGTTAGACTAGGATTGTATAGGGGATATGTAAAAAGCAGTCCTTCTAGAATTTTTTTGGCCTAAGAGAAACTTATTCCGGCCTAAAGCTATAAGAAAAGGGTCCTTATTCACGCCCTCTGTATTTCTTAGCAAGGCAGTTAAGTTTTTTTGTTGGACCATATCTGACAAAATATTCACTTCTTTTATTTTTATATACAGTCTCTATCGATAAACTTTTATTTCTTTTTGCCACTGGCACGGGCATCGTTAATTACAATTTATGATAGGATAGGACCTCGAAACATTTTGCAGATTTTGGGAAGGGGCCTTCATTAATGAGATGGTCAAAACATTAGAATGGGGCTAAAGCAGTCCCTCTTTCTGGTGATATTTCTTTTTATATGCAAAGTAGATTCCCCTACATCTACACCACAGTTAAATCAATTTTCCCTAATTTGACTTGGTAATTAGTATTAATGTCCAAGGAAGAGGTGAATTACTGGAAATTATTTGTTCTTCAATTCCAGGGAAAGTAGGTTGCAATATATGGCCACATGGTTAGACTAGGTGATTTTTCATCTAACAGATTATTCTACTCTGTAATGCATGATGGATTTCAATTTCAGTTCAGAATCGTTTCCTAAAGTGAAATGGTTATCACAAAATCTAATTCAAGAAAAAGATCTGACTTCAGTAAACTGAAACAAACCAAACTGTTTATTAAAATTCTTGGGACTCTAACCCAGTAATCTATAGCTTCTCTCTGGAATGTAGAAAAAAACCTTAGACTCCACACAAAAGCTACAAATTTTCTAGCTGTCAATTTTTCTCTCAAATTTAAAGTTCAAATTTACACTGGCAAATTTTTTTTTAATTGACTGCAAATATTGCAAAAGAATATAGTGACTGTTGGAAGAGTGCTTTATCAGAAAGCTTAAAATTTTAAAGTTATTTTTATTGAAAAAGCGATGGATACTGATGTAGAACAATTTATTCAGAACGTCTTCAGAAGGCAAGTTTCATCTTTGGATAAACATTTGCATTTGCATTACCACAAAGACTTCTTCAAATACTTTCAAATGTCTCCATTTAAGCTTGCAAAGACATGCAAGATCCTGTTATGACATCTTCATCAAACAAATCTTGAGTCTTTTATGACTGTAACTGTTGCTGTTGAGCAGGCAAATTAGCAGCCAACATTTCAGCGTTTTGAAGAAATTCTTGCCGATCCTTTATTTCATCAATTTGATCCATTTTTCGTCGATTTGAAATTCAAATGTTTGAATAATAATCTGATATAAATCCACTGGCATGGATTGTGTAGGAGCGACAGGAAATGAATAGTTACCAACCTATTTTTTTGCGTTATATAAGTGAGAGTGTTTGAGAAAGGAGTTTGTGGAAAGATGCAGGCCATTAGGAACCAAAACAGAAGTCAGCTCTCTCTTCAAGTGTTGTTCTTATTGGTTCATTTTACAACTTCAATAATTTTGCAGGAAAGAAGGAAAGGTTTCTAATTTTTTCAAAGGGAATTATTTGCTGTGAATTCTCAGAGAATTTTCTAATCTCTACTTCTGTGCATTTGCAGTGAAAAATTATCTTTGTGTGGAACAATTTGTCTTGTGTCAATCAGGCTTAAGCCTCCATCCATATTTCCAGCAAACTTGGGTACACCACCCCAAAGCCTAGAAAAACCTAGGTCTCCACCCAGGGCACAGAAAAACCTAGAAATATACCCAAGGGCCAAATAAAAGTGAAATGTAAACAATTTTTGGATGCTGACTCACCCACCTGTACCCACTTTCTATACTTTGATCGGTATAATAGCAATCTCTTGGGCACCAGCACTTCATGGAATACTTGCTGTGCCGTGCTGTTCCCAAGAAGTGAGGAACTTGTACCCCTAATTGCTAATGAAATAACTCAATATTAAGCCCCCTCGAAGCATGAATTTTGTAAAATATCCCCCCCCCCGTATTTACAATAATTGGAGAAAAATTCTCCAAAAGAGGTTCCTTGGACTGATCCCCAGGAGAAATTTCCAATTTGAATATCCTTAAGAATTTGCCATTTATGTTATAATTGGATTGAGAAGGGGAAATTGGATTGATGAACCCAGACCAGGAACTCTGAAGAAAGAGTAATGCACATCACAGCTGACCCCTTTAACATAATAATTTTCACATGCGTAGCAGGCTTGTGCACAAATGCTCAGAAAACATTACGATAAATCTACTTCACCCTCTCGCATGAAGGCAACAGAATTTCCAAAAATTTCCTTATTTATGGTGCGGCTTTCCGGAAATTGTTTAGGAAACAGTGATGATTGAGAATAATGACGAATTATTTGAAAATTAATTAAAGGCTGATTAACATAATTCAGGGCTGGTTAACAGGGTGTTATTTTCCCTGCGACCACAAGGGTGGATAAATAATTCAATAGTTTTATAACTTTGCAAGAAGTTGAGCAGTTTTGAAGGAGAAAATAAAATGTTCCCAGGAAATACCTCATTACACTGAAATAGATCAAAACTTATTTAGCACAGTGTTATTGTGCTAGGGAGGCTCAAAGGGGTTCAGCTTCCCTTGCAAAAGTAGCAAATTACTGTTATAAGTGTTTGAGATACATTTTAATGCAGGCCATACAGATAGTGCTATACAGAAAGAACTGACCTCCTGTATTCTGTATTTGTGCCAGAATTTCCTGCTTGCACCTCACTCGTAACACTATAAATTTATCTCTTTTGTACATAATTTAAATTTGTGGAATCAATCTTTTGTAAAATCGCTTCATTCAGCAAGACGCAGGAATTACCATTTTGATATTTCCCAGTTGCTTGTCTACCCTTGTCGTCCGAAACCTATCGGCAGCCCTGATTATAAGCATGGAAATAAGTTTTTTATGAAATCTTAAATTTCGTTTTCTATTTTTAGGAGACTCTTGCTAGTATTCAACAACATAGTTTTATCATATAATTGAGGTTTTCTAACCACAAATTCCAAACTATGTTCACAGGAAATTTTCTTCAGGAAGTTTACGGCCACAAGAGGTCTTTAGAATAATAACAGCCTGGTCTACAACAGCTTGTTTGAAACCCTTCTTGCGATTTCTGTTCCCTTAAATCTTGTGTTTTTAAAGGTAGAAAGCCTGATCAAATTGGCTTGAACTGAATTTCAGCCAGCAACAATGATATGCATATACGCTTCCAAAAAACTAATCATATTAACATTAGAGGTTTTCGATTGTTCTTGAAGACCTCCGAGCTATTAAGAGGCGATTTCAGTGGTCACCTAAATTCAAATTGGCTTTATTGTAAAATCGGCTACTGTTCATTGTCCAATCGAAAAACGCAAGACCAACTCTCATCAATTCCTTAATTATTGACGTAAACGGTTGGCTGAAAGGACATAATGCCTTTAAGGTGTGCGCCAAAACTTACTCGTCCCTTCCTGATTGGTTGACTGATTGGTTTTTTATCTCCAGGCTGAAAAACGCTGACGTCACATTGCACTAGCAACATGCAGCCCAAAGTAAAAGTCCAGAGCCCCAATGTAAAGTATACGAACGACTCAGTGATCAGCAAATACATTTATCAAACAACCCAAGTGAACCAAGATAATGGCACGTGTAATGTACAGCCAGTTGATGTTCATTTCACCTTTCACACCGATACAAAAGTGCCAAAAGTTGGCCTCATGATGGTCGGATGGAGTGGCAACAACGGTACAACACTGACGGCAGCCCTTCTTGCCAACAAGCACAACATCACATGGGAGACTAAGACGGGTGTAAAGAAACCAAATTTCTTTGGCTCAATCCTCGAAGCATCCACTGTTAGCCTTGGCTTTGATCAGAATGGAGAGGTTGGTATATTCAAGTTTACAAGAATACATCTTGATGATAACTGTTTTGTCGTTAGTTGTTGTTATTATAAACCGCAATTCACAATGAATTCATGCTCTGTAAACAAAATCTACAAAACTACAAAAAGCATAGCTAAAATGGTATTTGATTCAAGGCTACAAGGATACACCCAGTCCAATTTTGCTATCTATTATAACAAACCCCTATTATAACAAATTTCTCGCTATTACGAACCCACAACATCTTGTTATTACGAACTAAGTGTGTAGTCCCTTGGAATACTTCCTGTAAAACGAACCCTCGGTATATAAAACTCACTCTATTCAAAATTTTTTATTGGTCCCTACAGAATTCATAATCGCGGGATTCCACTGTTTGTCAACTGGCAGTTTTCTTTTTTTTTGCTGCTAGGTTTTTGTTCCGATGCGAGATCTTTTACCCATGGTGAAGCCAACTGACTTGGTAATTGACGGCTGGGACTTGTCCTCATTAACTTTGGGTGAGGCAATGACCAGGGCAGCGGTTCTACACTGTTCACTTCAACAGAAACTAAGACCAATGATGAATTCCATGAAGCCGAGGAAAGCAATCTATCGCGAGGACTTCATTGCGCCAAATCAAGCAGAGAGAGCGGAAAATGTTCTAACGGGAACGGCGGAAGAGCAGGTAAATCAAATCCGTGCAGATATAAGGGACTTCAAGGCAACGAATAGCCTTGACAAGGTAATCGTTGTCTGGACTGCAAATACAGAGCGGTTTTGTGCCGTCCGCACTGGACTTAACGACTCTAGTCAAAATTTATTGAATTCAATTGTGAAAAACGAGAAGGAAATTTCCGCTTCGACTTTGTACGCGGTTGCTGCCATACAAGAAGGGTGTGCCTACATCAACGGATCGCCACAAAACACGTTTGTTCCAGGAGTTCTCCAGCTTGCCAAGGAACATAAAGTTTTCATTGGAGGCGACGATTTCAAGTCCGGGCAAACGAAAATCAAGTCTGTCCTTGTTGATTTCTTAGTCAGTGCTGGTATAAAACCTGTGTCAATTGTTAGCTACAATCATCTGGGCAATAACGACGGAAAGAACTTATCAAATCCTGCACAATTCCGTTCTAAAGAGGTCTCTAAGAGCAATGTGGTTGATGACATGGTTGACTCAAACAGGATCCTTTACAAGCCCGGGGAAAAGCCGGACCACTGCGTGGTGATTAAATACGTCCCGTACGTTGGCGACAGCAAAAGAGCGATGGATGAATACACATCTGAGATCTTCATGAATGGTACTAACACACTTGTCATTCATAACACCTGCGAAGATTCTCTTCTGGCCACGCCAATCATTCTTGATCTGGTCCTGCTGACCGAGGTTTTCCAGCGAGTGAAGTTCAGGGTTGGTGATAACCAAGAACTGCAATCTTTCCACACGGTACTCTCATTGTTGAGCTACTTGCTGAAAGCCCCGCTTGTGCCAGAGAAGACCCCGATTGTGAATGCTCTGTTCAAGCAAAGAGCATGCATTGAGAATGTCCTGCGAGCTTGCATTGGCCTTCCACCTCAGAATCATATGCTGATGGAGTACAAGGTTGCAGAGATGGAATCTTTTTGCAAGCACGTGAAGCAGCAATGTGTGACCGATAGTATGCAGTATTTACCGGATGGGTTAATACGAAAATTCTAGAGCCATTTTCCTTAAGGATATATTTAAGTTCTATCAAGGACATACAACAAATAGTATATTTATTAGCAGATTCGTACTCATTGAAATTTTTTTAGTTTTCGTAGTCTTTGACGTTATTTATTCAACTTCATGGGGTCAAGTTTATTCAAATTTAGGTCTGCTCCGCGAGTTTAAATCCAACATCTTTCATTTAACCATGCCATGTTTCGATGCTGGTAAAATAACAAAAATTGTATTGAAGCAATGGAGAGCTGTTCAGTTATCCTACAAATCTGCTGTTTCTATCGTAGAATTTCTCGACAATGTACAAAGACTGTCGTCCTGTTCATGAATGTTTTGCTTTTTTGTGCCCATGATCAATTTGTCAGGCTGAAGGCATCAGACATTAGCGCACATAGTTTCCATTATTTCAATTCTTTTTTGTGCCAAGGCTAAGATTGAACCGCCAAATGAAACTTTAAACTGAGAGTCGCTCTCTTTGTTTAACAAACCTTTGGGCCTGGCTGTTGGACAGCAGTAAGATAATAAAATTTTGAATCCCTAACATCCGTTGAATATCACAGTTCTGCATGTCATGTTTGAATGAATTTTCCAGCTGTTCTGATTCAACTGGGTTTACAATCAATCTTGCTCAAGAATAGTATTTTCTTACACATTAAAATCGGCACCCTAATTTCACATGGATTTTTCCACTTTCTTTTGTAGTCCAAAAGATTAATCTCCAGAGTTTCTATAATATCACTGAATTCAACAAAACAATTTGCCTTTCAAAATAGATGATAATCTTTTGGTAAAATTAGCTTAATAGTTCAGTGAAAATAAGCAGTATGCGATAGTAAAAATTAGTCGTTGGTAGCAATATAAAAACTTGATGCTTTAGTATGCTTCTAGATGAATATTACGAATTTGTTAATGGATGTCACATTCCTTTCTGTGTTAAATTCTGTCATGTATTGTGAAAGAATCAAGTACATTAAAAATCCGCAAATACGAACCAAAAATTAAGCGCCTGTTCGCTCATTTATACCCCCATAAACATGCAGCTATAAGAAATTTATATTTTTTAAAACCATACCAGTGCATTACAGCTGAATTATAAGAATCATATTTGAAGAAATGAAGGAATTTGCGATTGCTGTAATTTTTAAAGAAAAAGGAGTGCTAGGTATGTAGATTGTCAAAGTATTCTAAACAAAATATAAATCAGCACAACATTATGCACTAAAGTTGATAATTTTTTTAAGACTCTTCGTTTTATATATCATTAAAGACATAAAATTCTACACCCACTTTTATCAGGCAGTCTACAATTGGCGACTTATCTTTCGAACACAAACTGAAACTTAAAAGGACAGTTGGAATAAACATTCCTATGAGAAAGCTTTTTAGAAGTCCATTAAATCAGGATCAGTCAAAGGTTTATTTCTTTTACATTTTGGGCCCTGCTCTAAATGCTATCAATTTTAAATAACGAAAAAATTGTTACAGTTAAAGCATAGTACAACTAGGCAAAGCATATGAATAGATGTAAATGTATAAACTGACAAATTCTTTATTGTTTTTGGGGGTGGGGGCTAGGTTGGTACTGAAAAGTTAAAGATATAGGTTAATGACAAACTTGTTTGCAGCTGTGTTTAATTTTTTCTTATAAGGTAGGTTTTTACTTGCGGGTTTTACTTCATATTGTTACATTCATAACAAATCTCTTTGGGCTGTCCTCCTCAATGTTTAAGGCAGAGAGGACCCTATTTAGAGTCTCCTATTAGCTCATTAGCCTCAAAATATGGCTTTCTTCCCACTTCTGCCCCAGTCATTCCCTAGGTCTGCTATTTTTATTTGTAACTTTTATGGAAAAGATACTCATCTAAAAGAGAGAAGCAGGAAATATCTGCAAGACAAGACCATAAAGGGTATAAAGGATTCTGCTACATCAACTTTCACTGTTTTTTAAAAAAAGCAAAGACCAAGATCTACCAAGCTCAAGTCTCACTCCTCAGGGAGAATAAAATGAATCTTCTGAAACCAGGGCCTAAAATAAGCGTGGATCTGACTCACTTTGTGGAGTCGTAAATTAAAATTGTGGACCTGTGATTGTAGAAAGTGTGGATTTGTAAATAATGCATGCTCTTAAAAGTGCAGCATAAAATACCAATCGAAACGCCTAAGAAAGAGATAGGAACATTTTTTCAACTCGGAGTGAATGCCCGATCCCAGCCTTATGTATTGCACTCATTTTTTATAAGAAAATTGCGATAAGAAATAAGCAATGGATAATAAAGAAGAATTAAGAAACTTCAGAGCTCGAAGCATCAGTACATGCGAAGAAAAATCAATTGCGCTTTATGATATTGTTGTGTGCTATTTTGAAGTAAGATGGAATCTGTATACAGCTTTAACTTCAAGACATCATCTCAATTTAGTTTGCTTTTATGACTTGCTTCAAAAAAGACACTGAGCCTTAAGACCAAGACCGAGATTATGATATCCTGCCCGTAATGTATTTTGGGGTTTTTATGTGATATTTTTCAGTAGATTTCAAAGAAAGTTATAAACCTTTTCAACTAAGGTTTTTAAATTGGAAAAGCATTGGAAAAAATCCCCTAAAGGCTACAGCAGCTGAACGATGATAAGCCTTTCGGTGGTAGCTTGGAGGAACATTCAATGGGGAATGTATAACAAGGACTAAGGAATAGTCCTATATTTCCGGTGTTTCAAAGGGCGTGGCCGTAAAAAATTTAGGGGCAAGCCTGCAAGTTCCGTTCCAGCCACTTCCTTGTGGGCTGGTGCCAGTGTGACCTGATCTAGCGTAATATTAACATGAAATTGGCCAAAAATCGTCATTTAGCATAAAATCTAGCATAATTTGAAATCTAGCATAACTCTGGCATAATTCTGATATTATTTAGAAGAAACATTGTTTCCATTGATCCATTGTCTATCGTTACCAAATGCAAATACTTTGCACCAGCATCTGTGGTTTCATTTTGGGAGTAAATTGTGACTTTTCACCTTCGGGATATTGCCAGTTGTTTTGGTTGGTTGGCAGCCACATATTTTGTGGTTGGCAGCCACATATTTTGTGGTTGGCAGCCAAATGCAGCCAGCTAAACGCAGTATACAAAAAAGCTAAATTTCGCTAATTATTGGGAGTGATACCGTAATCAAAATTTGCTTTGTAGGTTACAAAAGTTTTCACTTGCTTTGATCTAAAACTGTTTGTTATCTTTTGCTTTGTTTCATCATTCATCATTTGCAATTTTGAAATTATTTTAAAATTTTTTGAATATTATCTGTGCAAAAATTTTTGTTTCCTTTGCATTTTCGTTGTTTTTTGCAACATGCTGTCAGAATTTAGCCAAATTTTGCTTCTTCGGCCAAATCAATTTATGACGGCCAAGGGGTTTTGAGAAACTGCCAAAATGGAGAAATTTGGCCATCAAACCATGGATCTTAATTGCCTTTTTTTATGAAGAATGAATACACTGGGTTGTCAAAATGGCCAAATTGCAACTCTGGCCACTTTTGATATTCTGAGCATGCATTAGCTTCTTTCTCGAGCAGATTGCCTTGATTTTAAATCTAGCATAATTTTTGCAAATCTAGCACAATCTTATGACAAATTTGGCGTAATTGAGATCTGGTGCGTGGTTTCTGCATTACAAATAAGATGGGGGTAAAGATCATGCTTTCAAACTGGGCGAAAAGAATATAAGAAGAAACAAGCACAATTTGTACATCATTGAGAGAAGAGTTTATTTGCCATCTGTAACGAGGTTTTCGTTTATAGTATCAAAACCTTTTGAAGAAAAGATTTGATGGCAAAGAATTTGATGGGCTGAATGCAGTTAAGAACTTTCCATAAGTAAACAAGACTTAAGAAAGCTTCACCCAGCTTTTGTCCCGGACATCGCAGCAATCCCTAATTCTGTCGATGCAGAGAGGCTGATTCCCACCTATAACAAGATAGAAGCAGGTGGGGAAAGCAGCATAGCTCCAGAAAACTTATCAAATAGATAAATATTGCAATTAATATGCTTGATCTCGCAAGTTTCGATTTCCGAGAAAAGCTGCAAAGATATGGTTCCAAAAAACCAAAATATACTAAAAAATACCACAAGTCTGGGAAGTAAGGCTAATTTAAGGGAGTTTTTGAAGGTGAAAGGGAAAAAAATAACTTTGACAGAGACCCGAACAAACCAAGAAAAAGAGTTTTCTTTCGATAACTTTCCGCTCACATATTAAGACATCGCTATATGTAGCTTATTTTCTTATAAACCCAATCCATGTATTGTGAAGAATCAGCTTTTGCTACTTATACTTCATTCATTTAGGTATTTGCCCAATTAGGACATGCTATTTGCACTATGATGGCAGTTTTCTATATTTGCCACCCCCATGATACCCATCAAAGCAAAGTACCACCCCCAATTTTTATAAAAAATGTGGATCTGTAAAAATTTCTTATTTTAGGCCCTGTCTGAAACTCCTGAAAGGGACGATGAAAGTGTGAGTCAACCTTTTACACAAGCAGAATAATGCCAGCTAGATCTTCCAAAGTGTTATTCAATTGATCATGGTCATCTTTGTGAAGATGTGCTTGATGCTGATGTTGATAGATTGATTTTGCAGCATGGGCCATGTTGACCAGGTGGTACATTCGAATGTATAAAGGAGGATGGATCTGTCTTTACAAATTTTCGTGCTAGATATTTTAATAAAGACATTAAAAACATTTCAGTTCAAAGGCTATGGCTCTGTTATTCGATCCATGGAAATCCTGGAAAAGCTTGAATGAAGATAATAAGAAATACCTTAGACAGCAGAATTTATCTTCAGATGTTGTTGTTTATCATTTCTTCATGAGTTTTTGAAGCTCTAGAATTTGGCTCAAATTTTTAAAGTATCATTTAGTTAAGCAGAGGGGCCCTAAAACGCTTCTTTTAGTAAGGGTTCCACACTGTTCCGTTACGCCACTGAAAGAGAGCGGCAAATATAATAGATAATAAACAAAAGAATTGTTAGCTATGATATTTATAAAACCAAATATTGTGAATAGTGACAAGATAATTTCGTCAATATTGTCTTTATGTTAAGAATCTTTGATGGTAAAAAACCATGTGACGTTAATATATCCATGTTAATATTTTATTATGATACCCCCACCCTCGCCCCCACCCAGGAATACTCTATGATGTTAGTAGAAAAATTTTGAGATTTGCCCACATCACCAACACTGCCCCTCCTGCCCTAATCTTGTGCAGGCGTCCCTGGGTGCAAGGTTGCCAATTTTTCGCGCGCTTGTGGCCTCGATTTGAAGTCGGAGTAAAAACATTTTTATAGATCAGTGGCAGCGATAGAGCATAGAGGAAGCTTCGACAGGTAAGCAATAATATGCAGTTATGATCTCGATGAATCTTCGCTTGATGAATCTAATCGATGAATCTTAAGGGATCTTTCATCCTAGCTTCAATAAATGATTCTGCACAGTACTGTAGACGATCTGATTTCCCAAAGCAACCATAGATTTTCAAGCAAACAAACACAATATAGCTAAATGAGTATGCTATTTACATAAATATCCTGTAATCTATCAAATATCTGCAATTTATGCTTTCCAATAAATAAACAATTACAATATAAATTCTGATCTCAAGTTTGATATAACTTGAAATTTACTCTAATGTTCAACAGAGGTTGCTTCAAAATGTGCTTGATCCATGAATCTGTTTAAAGAAATTTAACAGAGTCAAAGCATAAAGTTTCCAGTCACACAATTTCATCAAATGAGGGATTTAAACCATGATCATTGGAAAGATTTACTCTTGACAAAAAGAATAATGACAGAAAGACTGATATTTAAAATTCCTTATTGACAATAAGGTTGAAATCTCTTGCAGCTGTTGAACTGTTGATGTCTGGCCTTGCAGCTGTTGAAGAGTCCCTTCAGGCAATTCCTGGGTAAGCATTTTTGTTTTCTAGCAACTCACTCTCTGACGAAGACTTAATGTTGAAAGGCGTTAATTTTGCATAATAATTCAAGTTGGTTGAACTTTCTCTGGCTGTGTAGTATTTCAATATTAGTTTCCTTATATTTGGAATTAACATCATTCGATGGGTAGTTAACTGTTTGAATGATGCTTAAATAAAAAAACACATACTTTTCAATATTCTTTTCTTTAGCAGTGCTATTGATAACATGTCTTTTTTTAATTAAACAATGGCACATTCTAAATGAGTTACAGCTTTTGATTAAACAGCAAAATAGTTTAATAATAAACTTGATTTCTTACCACTTCTGACAAGCTCATTTCCTTTTGGCTAAGGGAAGCAGCCCCTTCTTTTTCTGTAAATTCTCTTTGTAAGCTAGCACTCTCAATGTGCTTCCATTCCAGCTCCTATGTGATAAAATAATCATCTGAAGTGTCTCTGAAAAATCACACTAGCAGCCATTTCTGTTTCAGCTATCATCATGTTTATAAGCTGGTAATATATTGCATTCAGCCAACAGATATGGCAAAAGTTGGCTATGATTTATTTTTTGCAATTTACTAAATATCCCCTATGCCTTACTCCCTAAGAAAACCCCATATATTTCAGAAAGAGGGGGTGTTACTGTGAGCCCTTAAGTGTTGCTGAATTGCGTGTGCAAACAATGCTTTTATCAGGTGTACAAATAGCTCATTAAGAAAATATCGTTTGATAATGAAATGGATAAATTTGTTTCAAAAACCCCATTACCCAGTTAATGGCTATTTTAAAGGCACCATAGCATAGGACTAATTCTCAATAACGTTTTCTTTACCTCAGAGCCAATTTTAATCTCTAAATGGTTGATTGACACGAAATTCCATTTAAGCAGTCAAGAAATGACCTCAAACGATTCTAAAAATACCTCTGTATTATACAAAAAAAATTTCTCGTAAGATCTTACCTTGAGCTGTTTCCTGATATCTGTGTATTTATCCCAAAGTTCGTTGTGATTTTCGTTTCTAATCCTAAGCCTGCAATATGGTAAAAGTAATGTGAAAGTCATTTGACAGATAAGGCGTTTTTCTGGGTAGAAAATGTAAGAAAATGAATGATTAGGAAGAAATGCTAAGGTTTGCATTGTTCTTAAATTCAACTTTTTGTTGTTGATCTCTCAAGATTTCAGTGGCAGTACCAAAAGGGCCACTTTTCATAAAGTGAAATAAAGCAGATGCTCTTCTAAGTAATAAAATTGAGAACTTTGAGCCCATTGTGCTGTTTTAGAACAGCTTCTTTGTGCTGTCTCTTATTTGATTATTTTTCAAACCAAAGCAAAATTAGATTTTATAACTTACTGTAAGTCAAGAAAGTGAACATTTTGATTCAGTTCTTCGTTTTCCTTTGTTCTTTTGTGGTACATTGAATTCAGCTGAAAGAAAAGACAAGTTTTCACTATATTTTGTATGAAATAACTTTTTATTGAAGTTTGACATATCTGATAGACTGTTATCAGAACCGCGAAATGCTTATGTGAAATGGTATCATACCTCTTTGTATTCTTCATCAAGAAGGTTCATCTGTGAAGATAGGTCAGCAACCTGATAGAAAATTGAAGAGCATTTTGTCAAATCTTTTCTTCAAATATGGGAATCAATAAGCACATTTCTAATAATAGTTCTATCAAATTGATACCCTCGCTTTAATGTGATTTCAAGGCCAAAAGAACAACAGCTTCAATGAATTCTCCTCACAAAGTGTAATGTTATTTCTTAATAGTTTTTTTTGTAAGCAGAAAATTTATTTTACACTATTTATGCGTGTTCAGTTTTTCTAGGGTTTCTATGAAAAACATCGTCAGTTTGGATGTGGATGTAGCTACAATTGTACTATAAAACATATGCACTTTCTACATTAAAAAACCCTTTGATATATCTTCTATTTTGTTGCAAATAATAAGGCCGTCGCTAGCTATTGTGCTCAAAGGGGCTGCTTAGGTCTTATTTTCCGACAAAGTGGGTGAAGGTAGAACTTTTCTTTTATTTGCTCACAAATCGAAGAAATTGTCGACGCAGCACTCCTACATGTCTAAAAAGTCGTTATGTAACGGACATTCTCCAAGAGGGTGTCACACCCTTAACGCCCTACCTTAGCAACGGTCCTGAGTAAGTAGTGTTCATAATTTCTTATGTTAATTTATTCTGATATAATGCAATACCGTCAGTTCCAGGCCTTTGCTGTTGTACTCTGCCATGACCCGCTGTGACTGGACCTTGTGTAGGGAAATCTGCAAAAAACAGCGTAATGGCCCTCAGCTAAGCAGTTCACGTTTCATAAGTTTAGACATTCACTTAAATTTGATCAGTTTTAGTTAACAAGGTAAAAATGAACTGCTTTGCTGAGGACTCTAGCTTAGTGCTTGTTGTAGGCCCTTCATAGTAAGTTTCATCTTTTATTTATGTCCCATAGTTGATAGCCCAAGTTAAATATTACATGCACTTAGACTTTCCCAAATCTCCCAAATCCTGTTTTTTAAGTAGTCGAAGGTGAATAATCTCTTGAATCCTTGTACAACAATGCTATGTTCCTTTTCCTTAATCAACCTTTCTCATCATTTCCAGTCTTACGTTTTCTGCCTTTTATCTCTTTTTCTTGTCCGTTTTCCTTTCAGTGGCCTAGCATTGTGCTGATTCAATCTATTCTTACTGTAATTTTTATCTTTTTTTCGTTTTTTAAGGGTAAGAAATGCTTCACTTGCTCTCCATTTTGTTGCAATAAACTTACTGCCTTGCGTCCATTTCAACCCTAATATTTTTACTCGTTTGTCCTTTTCAATGTGACTTTCAATGGCTCATTCACTTGTCTTTTCGACTATCTATGCTACACTATCATATATCTTTTTTCAGTATTGCTTTTCATTCCTCAAAATATTGTTTGATTCTGTAATGCCAATGCGATGAAAAACCTAAGTCCTCTGTTTCTGTGTCTATATAAATATTTGTTTTGGCCCTTAAGCCAACGTGTGAAAAATCGTATTTACTCTTTTCTTGATCTCCTTGCATTACAGTTTCCGCCCACTTTCCCATTTCCCTTATCTCCCTTTCCCTTATCTCCCTTTCCCTTATCTCCCTTTCCCTTCTCTCCCTTTTCCTGTTTATTTCTCTCTAAGTATCTTGAGGTGCCTTATTTTCCAGCTTGGTTCCGTGTGCCTCTATGCTTTTTCCTTATGTTTCGTTACATCATTAGCCCTTTACTTTAACACATGTCCTCGCACTGCCCTGCCTTAGCTTTCCTTATCTCCTTTCTCACCCTTTCCTCTTTTAATCAGAAAGTACCGTGCTATTCCAAATCAGCCTTATTTTACATCTTACCCTTTCCCTTTCTTGCTAATAGGAGCTAGAAATGCTTCTTCCTTCTCTCTCTTTTCTATTTCAGTAACCTTCTTTCATATTTCTTCTTTAATCTTAATATCTTTTCCCCAATTATGCCTCTTAATGCTCCTATAAATGGCTCATTCTCTTCATAATGTCTCTCTCCACAATGCACTATCATTGACTATACTCCAGTGCAACTTTAGACTCCAAAAACATTGTTTCCCAAACATATTGTTTAACTCTTTAATTCCAATACTATGATAACCTAACTCCCATAGTTTCTAATTGTCCCTACGCCTCTCTGTTGTCATTTTTCCCATTTGACCCTAAAACGTCTTAATTTCCACTGGACGTTATTCTTTCTTACTGCCATCTTTTCTTCTCTTTTTTCATTTTAATCTCTTTTGTATTTTTTGTCTCTTTAACATCTTATCACTTACTCATTTATTTATTTATTGCACCTTACTTTTCTCCTTGCTCTGCTGTAGAACATCAACATTTCTCACCAACTTTGACGATATGTCAAATATCAACTAAATTTTTATTGGGAGAGTTTAAATCCCAAAATTTCCTTTCATTTCAGGCTGTTAATAATAAATAATAGACTATTCTCTTGCATCTATTGTTTAAGCTATAGCTAAATCTTCGGATACTGTTTATTCCTTGGTTATTATTCCCTAATTTTCTTGTTAAATGATCATCAATTTTCCTGTTTGAATATAGCATGTTCTATTTATTTATAGAAATTCTTATGAAGGGCCTACATTTGACTTTGAGCATTTCTTCTGAAGTTCATCTCTTTCTTCCTTCATTTCTTCATATTTGGCTGATAGTATCTGCAAAATAATTGCAATTATATTATTTGGATATTTTCCATGTTATTTTGATTAGTAAAAATAATGCGTATAATGATCATATGGGTTACGATCATGCCTGGCAAGTTCTTTCTGGGAATTCTTAATATGGGATAGTTAGTAGCATCACTAAAAATGAATATGTAAAGCCTTAAATCAGCTTATTTTTTGTCATTTTAAGGTTGAAGTAAGTTTTCAAATAAAAAATTGCTGTGAGTATTCAATTCTTTGTTTTATTTGTTGTTTTATTTGTTGTTTTATTTGATTTATTCAATTCAGGATCGTATCAGAAGTAAGTTTAATTACTCACCAAATATTCGTTGCATTTTGCTTTAATCACTGTAATAAAAAAACTTTATTTCTTATAAAGATTATCCCATAATTGAATGGTTTATTATTTCTCAGGATGGTACATTATTGATAATCTACATATACTTATTAGTACCATTAATACTCATTAATACATCAATACTCAAATTCTAAATCATAAAAAGTCTAAAAAAATTCATTGTCCAAATCATTTTCAATTAAGCTTTTTTCTATTTTATATTTAGTAAGTGTTTTCAATGTGTATCTTTTCTCTAAGACTAAAACAGTTTATAAATTTTACCGGTTTCCCTCATCTCTACTTCATGTTCCAGTTGTGTTATCTTCTCAATACAAGCTTTCAGCTGTTAAAAAAGAGAATATCTTTAAAAAAAATTGAAAGACTATCAAGGTAAAATTCTGTTATTTTTACGAGGATCTTTTTCAAAAAACGTTTCAGTTTTCTTTAGAGGAGCCATAACAAGCATTGATGAATCAATACTTCATAAACTACCAATTAAACTGTTTATAAATTCGTAATTTAGGATCAAATAAAATTCATGTTTACAGCTCACCTGTAATTTGTATTTGTGTATCTCCTGTTTGCTTTCATTATCGTTATCAGTTTCTGAATAGGCAAAGAGAAATGCTTTAGCTTACTCTGTTTATCCGACTAACAGTGGCTAGATAGGTGACAACGTCTTTGAGTTGCAGGAAATATGGGATTCAAACTGTTGCTTGTTGGATTGGTTCAAATATAGTACTTGAGAATGGTGATGTGACAAGTGCGAATTAATGGGTTAGATATTTCGATATCTTTATAGTTTTAAGAGCAGTATGCTTCTAATCCGTGAATTTGTCTTCTTTAAGCCCTACAGTACTTCACACTTATCACACATTCAATAATTTTATCTTGATTATGTTACATCCTACGGTTTGAAATATTTCCTAACACATATTTAAGTTATATTGTCTTTTCACAATGCCTTGTTTAGCTTTGACCTCACGACTCGGTTCTTAAGAAGCTAGTTATTGTAAGGAAACTATCACTGCTTGCCTTAAACCCCTCAAAAATCCAGTTCATACTTTATGCTATATAATAGCTTCATTGCATTCAATTTTAGCTCTTTGTAATGACTTTATTATTATTATTATTATTATCACTTCATACCTTTTGAATTGTTTACATCAATCTCCATCATCTGAAAAATTAAAAAGAATACTTTCTTGTGTCTTTTTATAGCTGTAAGTACATTTTGAACATATAATTCAGTTTATAAACTAGCAAATATCTTAGCCATTAATAGTTTCAAAAGCATTCAAGTTAATTTTTGGTTCAGTTATACTTTGAACTTAGCAATAAGGTAAAATGCTACAAGGCAAAAATATATCTTCTTGGATGCATCGCGTTTGCCTGTTTACCTCTTTAAAATACTGGTATCGATTTTTTGTAATACTTTTTCTTTTTAAGTAGACAACTGATACAAATATTTCTTCTAATAATTATCTTACCATTAGCTTTCTTCGGCACTCTACAAGTTCTACAATAAATAAACGAAAATATGTTATTTCCAATATAGATTAAGTTGATTTTTTTATTCTGTCATAAATTTACTTCTTTGTCACCAATATCAACGTGAATCTACTCAAAAAGTAAATACATAAATTTTGGATAGCCATGTTTGCTGCCTGTAAAATGTTAAATTACCAATGTAGTTAAATTTTCATTTAACAAACAGCATACATAAGTTGTTCACATCTCCAGACTCAGACTCAGAATTAAAGATATAGCGATGATTAGAATGTAAAAAAAAGTTACCTTGTTGAAGTTCCTTGTTTTGAGACATAGCCAATCTTCGCTTATCCTCGAGCTGTAAATAAATTTGAAATAAACTCCGACTGTTAAATCATATATTGTTAGAACGTCTTCAAATCATGAGAACTAGAAAATAAAGGATCAATTTTTATATACTTAATTTTTGTATTTGTATCCTTGCATTAAACTCTTTACGTCACTAAGTTTTTTATGCCTATCAAATTTATATGGTTTTAATTAAAGGAAACTTGTTGTTTCTTTGTTTCCTTGATAACATGGACATCTCATTAAAAGTTTTGAAACTACTTTCTTTATTCTGACTTTCTAACTTGAACGAAGCTATATAATAGAACAGGAGCCTTTGAACGTTTGAGCATGTTTAAACTCACCATTATTATTTGAAAAGTCATAGCCTCGTTCTCTTTCAAAGACTCCTGTAGCTTTGCTTCGATTTCAAATTTCTCTTCCGCTAGTACCACATTTGCTTTCAGGACATTCTCTAAACGCTCTTGAAAGGCATTTTCTGCGGAGTTCCGTCTTTTGTCTTCTCTAGCACCTTGAATCGGATGGACTGATTTCTTACTCTTTTGGTGGCATAAATCTTTCATTTCGTAGTTGGAGACTATATCTAGGATTCTTTGCTCCTTTATGTCTCCATTTGACAGAAGCTCTTCCTCGAATTTGTCATCATTAAGCAAAAAGTAATCGATATTAGATACGTCTTCCTCGCAGTCAGTATCTTGAGTTTCTATCCTAGTTGGTGTTAGGAAGATATCAACAAACTCCTCATGACTGATTTCTTGTGACTTTGCTGTTGAACTTGCAGTGTCTTCTTGATCTGCATCATTAGTATTGAGCAGCTGATCTCCGTGAACCTCGATCTTGTTTCCTGACAGCCGGATCTCATTATCATATTCAGCCTTGTTTTCCAGATTAGCTTGTAGCTGGCAGTCAATCCTTTTGCAAGTATCATTGAGGTGTTCGTTTTCCTTTTGTAAAATGTCAAGATTGTCTCTACATTGTTCTAGCTCCGAACGACTTTCCTCGTACATTTTAACAAAATTGCTTGCCTCTTCTTTGGTGGTCATGTTTTCTTTTTCAAGGACTGAAATTTTCTCTCTTGTTTCCATAAGAATACTGTTCAGTTCTACATTTTGTTCCTTGATGTCCTCAAACCTTGCATTTAATGTCTTTAAATTTTCAATTTCGGTAGCCATCTCAGCTTTATGGGCTTTCAATACTGACATTGTATTTTGCTGTTCCAAGATAAGTTTTTGAATTTTCTCGTTCTCTTTTTTCAGCTCTGTCATGTCTTGTATTTCCGACTCGTGCTTCACAAGTTTTCGACTTAATTCTTTGACTTTTTCCTGCGCTTCCAAAATCTCAAATTCTTTTATTTCAAGTTGCTCGTTTAGCTCTGCAATATTTTCCTGTAGTTTTTGCTTTTCTTCAATGTTTTGTTTCAGAATGATCTCGACGTCTTGCAGCTCATTGTGGAACCCTTGGATGTCATTTTGAGATTGATACTCAAACTTTTGACATTTCTTGTGAAGCATCTCATTTTCTTGTTGCAAGAGCTCAAGCATTTGCTCATTTTCCCTGAACTGGCTTGCTAGTTTATTGTTGTCTTTTCTTAGAGTTTCATATTCATCCAAAAGCGAATCGTGCACTTTTGCAAGCTCCGAAAATGCGTTTTCCTTCTCTAGAAGATAGTCAAAATCTTTTCTCATTGAAAAGCACTCACTTGACAATTTTTGCAATCGTGTTCTCAGTGCACTATTTTCCCTTTCTGTCAGAATTTGTCTTGATATGTGATGGCTATACTCCTTGTTCTGGATGGTCATTAAGTCGAATCTGTCCTGTAATGAGTCCATATCTTTCTTCATGTTTGCAATTACAGCAAG